GGTCTTAATATATATCTCCTGTCATTATTATCAGTCCTCTCTCTTTCTCTCTCTCTCCCATTTTCTAGGTTGTCTACGTAGCTCGTAATGCCAAAGACAATGCTGTGTCTTATTATCACTTTGAGCGGATGAACATCGTACAGCCGGAGCCAGGAGACTGGAACACATACCTACAAACATTCATGAGTGGAAAGAGTGAGTGAGACAGTTACTACATCCCATGAGATCTGTACTGACCAGTGGAAGAGTGATTTACTGATACACTATAGAGACAAAAGTACTGGGACACCTACACATTACACCTACAGGAGCTTTTATGACATCTCATTCTAAAACCATAGGCATTAATATGGAGTTACTACAAGATTATAGAGTCTGTCTGTGGGAATTTTTGCCCAGTCATCCAAAAGAGCATTTGTGAGGTCAAACACTGATGTTGGACAAGAGGGCCTGGCTCACAATCTCTGTTGTTCTAGTTTATCCTAAAGGTGTTGGATAGGGTTGAGGTCAGGGCTCTGTGTGGACCAGTCAAGTTCTTCCACACCAAACTCAGACAGTCATGCCTTTATGGACCTTGCTTTGTGCACTGGGGCTCAGTCATGCTGGAACAGAAAAGAATCTTCTCCAAACTGTTCCCACAAAGTTAGAAACATAGAATTGTCCCTAATGTGTTGGTCTGCTGGAACCAAGACGTCTAGGGCAACCCCTAAAAAAAAAAAAGCATATCTTTATCCCTCCTCCACCAAACTTTACACCATCCATCAGACCGCCAGATAGAGAAGCATGATTCATCACTCCACAGAATACGTTTCCACTGCTCCAGAGTCCAGCGGCGGTGTGCTTTACACAGCTCCATCCGACGCTTGGCACTGTGCTTGGTGAGTGCACAGTTTTTGTGCTGAAGTTAAAGCCAGAAGAGGTTTTGAACTCTGCAGTTACTGAGTCAGCAGAGTGCTGGTAACTCTTATGCACTATGCACCTTAGCACTCAGCAACCCGCTTTGTAACTTCATGTGGTCTGTCACTCCCTATTCGACTGTTTGAGATTTTGCCCTAATGTTGGAAGATCTCTTGTTTAACCCCTAAAATCCCAGGCTTATTACATACTAAGACTTAATCATTAGTAACTACAGGGATGTCAATGCAAACTAGCTGAACTATTCTTAGGTTATAGAGGTGTGTAATAAAACTTTAGGCCTGCTGATATGCCTGGGCCATTTAAGGGGTTAAATCCCAGCGATGCCAGAGTGCAGTTGTTCTCTTCCAAGCACATGAAGCTGTCAAAACACATAGCATGATTTTCCTGGATCATTCTGGACTTTGGTTGTCTGTCCAGAAAAAAATGTATTCCATTCCTGAACACAAAATGTCCCGAAGTCTAAACATTTTCATATGTTTGTATTTCTTATGAAACTGCTTCTTTTTATCCAGTCAAATCATTTGTACATAAAGAATCGCTTTGACTGGTTCAGATTACCCTCAACATAAGGACAGCACCTGTTTAGGCAATAAGCAGCAGTGAAATGCAATAACTGATTTGGTTCAATAGCTTAACTGACATCTATCTATCTTAGACTTAATTGTAATAATAACAGATACACATTTTTTTTAAATCTCATGCATCAATATTAGTCATAATGGGCTCTCAAGTGGTGCAATTGTAAACTTTAGGGGTTGTAGCCAGATTTTTTAGAATGTAGTGGCCAGGTAAGACCCAGAGTTTTTTATCAGGGTGGCACTCTGCTAAAAAAAATTAAATAAATAAAAATAAAATAAAATAAAAGTGTTTTTTTTAACTGTGTTAAAATAACAAAATGTGAGGCTTTGTTTGTTCTTGCTACATTATGTACATTATTAATTGAGATTAATCGTAATTAATCGTAATTAGTTGTCATGATAAATGATTATAGTTGACTTATTTTGGATAGTTAACTCATGTTACCGTCGAATAGCCTACTTTATAATATAGCTCACAGAGCAGCACTGCTGAAGGGACCCAGTGCACATTCTCTCACCTGTTTGCTGATTATCACAGCAAAATATGCTTATTATTAAATGCAGCCTCATCAGACTCCTATATCTAATAACTACCCTGATGGCAGATTTTTACAAAATGTAATTGATGCATGTTTGATGATGGCTGAATGATGATTGTAGACTTTCCATAACTTTCCATAACTGGGGTCATAAAAGGCCACCCTTTGGCTACACCTCTGGTAAGTTTTTCCCTCTTATGTCAGGAGATCTCCTGTTTGAATCCCAGCAACGCCAGCATGCAGTGCTAGCCAATCATGCACATTTGTTTGCTCACATAAAACTGGGCAGTTGGCACTGACATAGCATGAGTGAACTGACCTCTACCTACCCTAGATTTCATTGTGAGCACAGCTACCTATTCACTGAATTTAGTAAAAAAAACCAAGCCACAGATCAAGTGTCCACGAATTTCACACGGTGAGGTGAGAACTCTAGTGAAAGGGTAGTTGGTGGAAGGAGTAATTTAATAATTTGGGAGAAAGCTGGAGGTAAGCTGGATGGAAAGAGTGAGCATATCCAATAGAATCTTACCTGACCAGCATTAAAACATAAAAAATGACATTAAAATCAATGCTATTTCAAAATGTAGATTAAAGTCAGGTAACTTTTTCTACTTTACCTCAACTAGATGTGTTTGGTCCTTGGTATGATCATGTGTGTGGATACTGGGAGAAGAAGCAGACGTACTCAAATATTCACTACATGTTCTTTGAGGATATGGTGGAGGTGAGAAAAGCAAAGAAATTCCACTTGGCATTACACTGTCATAGCTATTATATTTGGGGAAGAGTCGTCTTAAGTTCAGTTTTTACCATACAAAACCATGTTTTAGCTTGATGTTGATTACTGTAGGTCTCTGGGCTCTGAACATTTCTCTCACTGCTTGTCTAGGACACTGGGCGCGAAGTAGAGCGTTTGTGCTCCTTCCTTGGTTTGTCTACATCAGCTGAGGAGAGGGAGAGAATTACGAAAGGCACTCACTTCGATACCATGAAGCAGAATAAGATGACCAACTACTCTACAATCCCAATCATGAACTTCAAGATCTCACCGTTTATGCGAAAAGGTTAATATGGCATAAATCCATATGGGCTTGCTGACTGAATGTTTAGTCTCACATAGATAGGCTTCAGATATTCTAATGGGTTATTTACAGTATATAAAATAGAAAATACTTCTATTTAATTTACACACGCATGCACTAATTCAAAACTGCAGCAAAATGTTTTTTTATGAAAAATTGTTTGTCATGTCAAGGAAAGTTTGTCATGTCAAGGATACTTCACTCCACAAAAAAGCATGCAAACTTCCTCGAACATTAGAAAGACTAATTTAGAAATCAAGTGTTCTTTTTAAATTAACTAATTTACAATTTCTTATTTTTATTGTATCTTAAGTTCAAAATTTTTAACACTGTCATAGCATATCTGCTGTATCTGTTTAATTGTTAATGAGACAAAACTGTCTAAAGAAAATAGCATTTGAAAAACATTCCTGTAAAAAGTTTTGCTGTAGTTCTGTAGCATTCAAACTCATGGTGTAGTTTTAAAAATTACTTTTTAACTGGGCAGTTGTGAGGCAATTTGCAGTCTGATCCAGGCAAATGTTAACAATCTGTAGTAAAACAAATTTGGATGGCATCTTTAATGTTTTGCATGGTTGCCTGAATAAATAGAAGTTTGCCTGAAATTTTGACATCAGAGCTATAGTAGGGCTACTTCTTGAGGGTGATACAATATTTGAATATTCACTCTTTTAAAATGTTGAACATCTGAACAGCCATATTTGCTGTCCTGCACACTGTTATTTCAGGCAAACGTTGGGGTAGATGTTTGGTTGACTCGTAGATGTTTGACTCCACTATATTTCAAATGCGTCACTATTAGAATTCTATTGCGAGTTACTGCAAACACTTTGACAGTATATGCTTTCAAAGTTCAACATTTTAGACATCTACCAAAGACCCATGGATCAGCCCGTTGAGTGAGATCAAAAACAGATTTAGGTCATGTTCAAGTTTCTCTTCCTCTTTTTGTTCCTATATTTGTTCCTGAAGGAAAAGTTGGGGACTGGAAGAACCACTTCACAGTGGCCCAGAACGAGCAGTTTGATGAACACTACAAACAGAGGATGAAGAACACCACCCTCCGGCTCAGAACAGAGATTTAAAGCATCACGAATCCTGCACAAATCCCACATATATTGTAAATTAAATGTTGACCAATTTTATTAAAGCAAACTTTAAGGTATTTGTTTCACTGTTGTTTTCTCTCCTGGGACATACACACAAGCAAACACACACAAGCTCTCATCCTGAGGGTAGAAATCTCATATTATCTACTTATGTATTCACTTAAGGTTGCCAGATCATTCAACTCCATGCAAATATTGTTCTGGTCGAACCACACAGTGAACAAACAAGCTGTGGGATTGTTTACATTCCAGAAGAATCTAGAAGTGGTCAGACCATGCAAGGGGGTCTACAAAGCACGGTCTGTAAGAGTGTGTGAGAGATAAAGTTTTGTTTTTAACTTGTTTTTAAAATCACTGCACGGAGTGGCTGAGAGAATGAACAGGAAGCAGGAAACTCAAACAAGAATGAACTAGGAGGCCCACGGCCCTGGGGACCTTCTAAAAGCATGCGGTAAAATTACACAACAGGTCACTGATTGTTCAGAGTCACTCCTTCAGAAGAAGTTTTTTTTTTCCTTGTCGTTGTATTATGATATCTTAATACATTATTAATATAATCATACCAGTAGGCACCAATAACATTACTGCAGTATTTTCCATTGGTTTATATATGTCTGTATATCCCAATACAGAAATGGTCATAGTTTGTCATATCGTCATAGTTAATACATTATTACTATTATCATACTAGTAGGCACTATTAATATTATTGCAGTACTTTCCAATGGATTTAATATGTCTGTATATCCTATGCAGAAATTGTCATAGTGTACAGTGGAGAACTCCACCCAAGAAAAAGAGAGTCCTTGATTAATCAATGTTTTTTTGGGATGTAGTCTAGCATTCCTGGATAAAAATCGATTAACTGTGTTTTTAATGTTGCCGTTTTGCAAAACAAGGTATTTTACAAAGACCTACTCTAAAACATCACAACAGGTTTGGTGTGTTCCCGTGAACATTGTATGTGGGTGGAGGCGTTGTCAATGTGTCCCAAGGAGGGGCAGGACATAATACATCTGCAACTGGGGTGATCAGCTGTGCAAGAGTAGTGCAAGAGAAAAGAGTGTCTATATAATATTTACAGAGGAAGAACCCAAAAAGAAAAAAGACAGGAGGACAAGGACAACACTTCATCCATCATGGAAGGATTTGATTTACCTTTGGTGAGTCAACCGGAAAGTTTTGCCTATAAATGATATGGAATATTTTAAGTGTGCATTGCACTTTACAATAATGCCATACAGAGGTCACTTTGTGTATTAAATGGTAAAATAGGCCGAGGGCATAAAGTGAAGAACCAGACAGAACTGGAAACTGTGGGAAAGGGGTTTAAATATAGATTTGATATATGTGCAATCAAGCAGCAATACTAGAGTTCAACAAATTATTTTTTGATGCTGTAAAATCAGAGACTTTTCCATTGGTCCACCAGTCAAGTTAATTATGACATTCAAGCTTCAATTGGTAGATTAAGCAGTGATGAGACACTTAAGATTCAGTAATACTTCACAGTTTTTCAAATCAACCTAATCAACCAGTTTTCAAGAAAACTGGTCACATGCAAAATGTCTAATAACTAATGAACTTGTTCCGTTCAATTTTGATCCCATTCTATGATTTCCACTCCCATTCTATGATTTCCACTCAAAGTATGTTTAATAATAATGTTGACAAACATTTTTTATGCATGCTTTGATAAGATCAGTGCTGATCTCCAGAAACTGGCATCAGTGCTGCACAGACTGAACCAGAAAAGCAGAGCCAATGAAAAGGTTCCATATGTTATTTTTTCTAGTCTAGTGCCCCAAACTAGACAAGTCTAGTCAAAGGCACAATTCCATTCCATTTTCACTACTACCCCTTGTTTTTGAGTGTCACCTTGCCCTTTGGAACTAGTGCTGCTCTGTAGGCGACCCTGCAGGTCTGCAGTGATAGCAGAGGATGGTAAAGTTCAACTACCTCGATGCTGGGCTTTAGTTACATTTAGGGCATTATATGCCTTCAAAGAGGGGGATGAGACAATTATTTATTATTACCCACTCGTAATTTGGCAGTGATATGAAGCTGAAGTCGGCTATTCATTATCTTCTTGTTTGAATTTCCCTGTTCCATCTTAAATGGTGCAGCATTTCTGATGCCTAAGGCACCAGAATGTAACTGCTGCACAATTTAAGGTGGAACGGGAAATTTAGCCAGCTAGCTACGGAGTTATTATCATACTACTAGTGATTTTTTAGGCTTGTTATGAAGAAAATGACCATAATACTTTGAAACGACATTAAACTAAGGTAGTACAATGATTATCATAATTTTTAATGGAGAAAATACTCACTGTTTGTGGGTTTCTTTGGTCACTCGTGCAGCCGTCTTGCCATTTTGGAGTGTGCCTCTGAAAAAAACTCAGTTTGGAGGGCCACGTAGCCCCAACACTTCGTCCTACCCCTCTATCTCAACAAAAATCGGGACACCCTACCCCTAACGATAGGCTTAAACGCACAAAACCAAGGGCTAAGGGCTAAGTGGAAGAGGCAAGGGGTGAAATGGGATTAGGTCCAAGACTACAATATACAGTGAAGAATAACCACCAGTTTAACCATAGATTTAATAAAATAGCCTGAATCTATTTTCAGAGAGCCAATGACCTGAATACTTTATACAGTGGCCCCCACAAGAATTTGCACAATTTAACCATTTAACTATTGGTAAACATCTTTGTTAACAACTGTAAAGTTCTTTAGGTTGCTTCATAAAATGTTTAACAAAATATTCACAGGAAAACACTTTTAGCACAATCTGAAACTGGTAGACATTTTTAGAATCTGTTTAGAGAAAGCCAGGAGATGAATTCATTGATGACATCATGAACCCAGAAATGTGCAAACGTCATTTTGGATAAAAACCTGCAAAAGTCTGCAAAGAAACTGCTCAAACAGTAACGATCTAAACAGAATGCCTTTTAAAAGAATACATTGCCTAAAAGAAAATGCTTGCAATGGTCTGTTTAAAATAAATGCCACTTGGTTTGACAGTTTAACATAATGAACATTTTTAAGGATGACACAAATGTGCAAAAACCTTTAGGGCCGATGTGTTACATTTACTTTCAGAATGCAAACTTTGAAGGTGGTTCTTCGAGGGTTTTTTTTAGTAAAGAAAATGGTTCCGCATAGAACCATGAACACCATTTGCACGCTTAAAAGCTTCTCTGCATGCTGAAACGGGTCTTCTGATGATGGAGAAAGTGTTGTACCAAAAATAGAAACAATAGAAAAGCCCTTTCTGGTCCTACATAGAACGCTTTTTTTTTTAAAAAAAAGACTACATATAACCATATACGACTCATTTTTCATCAATCTGAAGAACAATTTTACCATACCAAGAACCCTTTAACCATGCAAATGGTTCTTTGAGTGTTCATGGTTCTGTATAGAACCATTGTCTTTACTTTTACTAAAGCACTCTTGTAGAGCCATGTATGTTTTAAGCATGTATAGTACATTTATTGAGTCACTTTTGATTATTCAGTGCACCAAAGACTTTCTCCAAGTTAATAAACTGTAATTCTTTTCATGCTAAACCATAAAGACAGTGAGTCGACCAGAGCTGATCGATTTTGAAGGCATCTCTATGGTCCATTACTTCACTGACAACTGGGAGAACCTTCAGAACTTCCAGGCAAGACCAGATGACATCCTCATCGCCACCTATCCTAAAGCAGGTGTGTGGGCTTTGTTTGTTCGAATGCTAACATGCTCAGGATGAATAAAGGCTGGAAGGCATTTCACTTTAAAGATGGAGCCATCTTCAAACACCCTGAAAATCAGGTACATTAATCAATCATTTTTAGCAGAATCACATTACAATATGCATACAATGAACAAACTCAATAATAATATCAATGTAAAGTACCTCATAAAGAGGATGCCCCACCCTTTGCCTGTCACACAGTCCAGACCCATGTGATGTGATTTTGGACCACTCTGACAAAAGGGAAGCCTCTAGTTCCATTAAGAATGATGGAGATGAGAATCATCTTCGCATGATTCAGTGTTTCAGACGTCGACGATAAAGATTAGATGTTGTTTATATCTGACGATTGAGGAGGACATAGAAGTCAACTGAGTTCATCTTGATGGTCATGAAAAAACTTTTGCATTTGTTTAATGCTGTGTGTGGGGGCATCATGAGGGAACTGTGTTTGTGGGGTCCTGTATCTCATTATCCTACACACTTGGTTTCTTTAAGCGTTCTTTAGTAAGGAAAATGGTTCTATAAAGAACCATGAACACTCAAAGGATCCTTTGCATGATTAAAGGGTTCTTTGCACCATAAAAGGGTTATTCAGAATGTGCTATAGATGGTTCTACGTAGAACATTTTTGAAAAAGGTTCTATCTAGCACAAAAAAAAATTCCTCTATTGTTACGATGTCAAGTTTGTAACAACAGACGAACCCTTTTGGGTGCTATACACTCTCAGAAATAAAGGTATGAAACTGTCATTGGGATGGGCTAGTCAGGGAACATAACTGTACCATAATCCACTGAAATGATATTTTCTAAGTTGTATTGACTCCACACACCCCGTCTCATCTCCAGGCCTTTTATTTTATTGTTCTGTTTTAAAACATCAGGTCATCAAAATATACAAATATGTACTTTTCCACTGGGAAAACCTTATTTAAGGTGCACAATTAGACCTTAAAACCGCTGTTGTACCTTTGAGGGAACGTTTACATTGTTTGTACCTTGATAAATGAAAAATGTACCTACATAGTACTTTTATTTCTAACAGTGTATAGAACCCTTTTTGAAAAGTTTCTTTATAGAACCATTTATAGCACATTCTCCATTAATCTGAAGAAAAGCGTTTTTTGAATGTTCATGGTTTATTATAGAACCCTTTTCATTACCAAAGAAACCTTGATGAACCATCTTTTTAAGAGTGTAGGCTGTTAACCATGAACAACAACCTTCAGACATACCCATTCCCATTAGATAGCTGCCCACAGAACTGAGAATCCACTACCAATTGGCAAATGTGGGTTGTGGGTTGAAGGCATCCTTTTGCCTTCTTCAAATGTAAACATGCTCAGGCATAGGAAAAAGGGAGAAGACGACTCATTAGACCATATCACTGTTTCCAAGGGTGTAGACCTGTTTTTGTCCAGTGAGTGTTACTCATTGTATAAGTTGTATGTAATCAATGGACAAAAACCTTTATGATTTATTTTTACTATTTTTTTTTATTTTATCTCTTAATTAATGTAAGGTAATCACATTGAGATTAAAAATCTCTTTTACAAGTGAGCCCTGGCCAAGAAGGCAGCACACAAAACAAACAACAAAGAAACAGCACGACCACAACCAACAGAATCAAATCAGAGTCAAACCCACATTAAAAACAAGAACAAACAGAGTGATACAGTTCTTAAACAGTTACCTTAGAATCACTCAGGGTAATGAAGTAAACCAATTTCAAATGTTTTTGCAGATCATTTCATGCAGATGGAGCACTGTACCTAAAAGCTGCCTTGCCATATCAGACAGTACTATCGGAACGTCCAGCTGAATGTAACTATTAGAACATAAATTGTACCGAGACTTATTTGTTGATATGAATGCAGACAAATATGAAAGACGGTGACCAGTTATTGTATTATACACAAAATGAATGAAAGTGAAGGCCAATCAACTGTTTCATGAAGTTCACAGTGATGAGTTGAATATCTAGCGCCTGTTATAAATCTAATGCTGAATGACAAACAGCGTCCAGTGAGTGCAACGTTGTCTTTGAAGTATACTTATAAAAATATCACCATAATTTAAAAATTCCAGGTCCCCTTCACATTGTGTGAAAATGTCCTGGTGAATGGACATGAACAGAAATAGCCTGAATTATTTGGAATAAAATGCTTTTACATTAACTGTTTTTTGCTTCACATGTAAAGTTGCCACCGTGATCCAGAAGGATAAGCGGTTTAGATGATGTATGTATGTATGTATATGTATGTATATAAAGTTACCATTTTGGAGATATGAAGTTTTGCCCCAACAGCAACAATATATTGGCAGAAAACCAATAATTGTACAGAATACAATTGGTCACAACAGCACATTCTCCATCTCTTCTCCATCAGGGACCACCTGGGTATCTTATATTTTAGATCTGCTCTACTTTGGCAGTACAGCTCAAGAGCGTCAGACCTCATTGCCCATCTACTTTCGAGTACCTTTTCTTGAAACGGCCTTCCCTGGGATGCCTTCAGGTCAGTGGCCTTGTCCCCTCTGATACAACACACCTATGATTGGTGGGGTATTCATCATTCCTTGTCCTCATATACAGACACAACAGCAGTCATAACATCTGCATAAGTCAGTCATGATGAAGTTATTGGTTGTCATTATGGATAGGATAATCCATAGGATAATTTCATGATAATTTCAAGCTTTATCGTCCTTTTGTAGGGGTGGAGCTGGCAGACAAGTTGCCCACCACTCCACGCCTCATCAAAACTCATCTTCCCATTCAGCTGGTGCCCAAATCCTTCTGGGAACAGAACTGCAGAGTATGTGGGGTTCTTCTCTGTGGATGTACATTAAAACAATATTGTATAGTTTAAGTTGTACTGTTTAGTTGAATTAAATGATATTATGGAGAAATCACAGTCTTCCTCCAAGGCACTAACACTTCTGTAACTACAGCCATAATTTTACTGGTGTACTTGCTGTGACTTTTATCCTACAGTGGTTATACAATAAGCCCTTATCTTACAACAACCTGCATTTGCAGACAAACAAAGGTCAAGTAGAATTTTCAGGGAGTGTGAGCAACTGTTTCAACTGTTTGCCCCTCAATGAAGTGTATATTCGCCATGCTTTAAAATGTGAATTGGCCTGTTATGAGCTCACTATGGCCTATAACAGAAGTTATGATTCTAGAGTTAATCAGAGGGACTTGCTTTAACAATCTACATCTGTAACATAACCATTACAGAGGACAAACTAAACTCATTTCTGCAGTTTGAGCAGATCTTACAAGGCCTGCAACATAATGAAAAGATATAATGTCATCTCCAGAGCCTCATACAGTGGACTCTAGACTTAAAATTAGCTTTGTATATTCTAGTAGTGTTATTAACACTGTCTTTCTTTTCAGGTTGTCTATGTAGCTCGCAATGCCAAAGACACCGCTGTGTCTTTTTTTCACTTTGACCGGATGAACATGTCACAGCCCGATCCAGGAGACTGGAATACGTTTCTACAGAAGTTCATGGATGGAAAGAGTAAGTGAAAGAGTTGGTAGAGGATCAATATCAATGCTACACAAAACTACTGAAAGTCACAGAACATCTATTTTACTGTTTAGATGTGTTTGGTCCTTGGTACGATCATGTGTGTGGATACTGGGAGAAGAAGCTGACGTACTCAAACATTCACTACATGTTCTTTGAGGATATGGCGAAGGTAAGGAAAGTACAGTAGAAAACATTTTAAATATGTAGCCCTGATTTAGCTTAATGTTAATCAATGTAGGTCAACAATCTGAGCTTTGAGATTTTCTTTCTTGTCTAGGACACTGGGCGTGAAGTGGAGCATCTGTGCTCTTTCCTTGGTATATCTGCTCCAATAGAAGAGAGGGAAAGAATTACAGAAGCCGTTCACTTTGATGCCATGAAGCAGAACAATATGACCAACTACTCTAATATTCCATTCCTGGACTTCAAGATCTCACCGTTTATGCGCAAAGGTTAGCCATGAATCTGAGCCTACTGACTGAGGTTTTGAGCAGGTGTATTGTCTACAGATTGGAATAGTTCTTTCATGCCAGTCATCTCAGGCCTGGCAGGTCACATCATGTATTTCAAGGAAAAAGTGCAGACAAAAACTCAAATATGTTGTGTATGGTTTTATATAGAACCTTTTAGAAAATGGTTCTACATAGCACCAAAAACAGGTTCCTCTATTGTTATTGATATTGTCCCCTTTTTCGTGCTATACAGAACTATCCATCAATCTAAAGAACATTTCATCATGCAAAGAACCATTTAAGCATGCAAATTGTTCTTTGATGGTTCATCTATATAGAACCACTGTCTTTATTAAAGAACCCAAGAAGAACCATCTTTAAGAGTGTAGATTTGTCCATATTAGATTCTAAACATCCTCCTATGTATGCTGGATTCATTCTGAAAGCAACAGATAACAAGAAAGATGGGATACTTGCTGGGTGCATCTGCAAGAGATTCAGTGCATCAATCCCACAGCAACAAGCAAGGGCAGAACATATTGCCTCCAAATAAGGAGGCTTTCTGGAGCATGATAAAGATTCATTTGTAAATCTAGTACTTTCTATTTTCTGTTTATTGTTTTTTCATATTGTGCTTGTTTGGCAAATACTTGTTCATAAAAGTATTACACTTTGAAGGAGTCAAATATCAATGAGACATAGTTTAAAATATACTAACAATTTTAACTAAGAGAAAAACAATTTAGCCCAAACCTAAATTTGTGGGAAATAAGTATGAAAATATGAATAAATCTCAAAAATTAAAGATTTAACATTCTGACATAAAATGTGCTTCCTACTGGGGGAATTTATCAGCATGAAACTAGTTGGTTTATAATATACTGTTAGTTTTGTATTTACACCCAGTAAATATTTCAGCTCAGTTCAGTCATTCTGTAAGTAGATAAAACCTGTATTTAAGATGCTAATCAGAAACCGATGGGGCAGAAATCATAGTAAAAAAAATATTTTTGCTTTGTATTTTGCCTTTCCCTAATGTATGTTTCTTTGTTCCTGAAGGGAAAGTTGGGGACTGGAAGAACCACTTCACTGTGGCTCAGAATGAGCAGTTTGATGAACACTACAAACAGAAGATGAAGAGCACCACCCTGCAGTTCCGAACACAGATTTAAGACATAGTATCTTTTATGTTGACTAGGTTTATTAAGCGCATTTTCTTGTCTCTATGTATTGTTTTCTTTCTATGTATTTGTGCTGTTATTTCATTTAGACCAGGGTGTCCCATCTTATCCACAAAGGACCAGTGTGTTTGCAGGTTTCCATTCCAAACAAGGAGAAGCTCAATTGATTCCCTCTTTGATCATGTGTGCTTCTGTTCAGTTGGAGCCACCCGCTGCCAGGCACACTGGATTTGGGTCTAATCCAATTTCACCCCTTGCCCCTACCACTTAGTCCTTAGCCCCTTAGGTTTGTGCGTTTAAGGCTAAGGTTAGGGGTAGGGTATCCCGATTTAGAGATAGAGGGGTAGGGCGAAGTGTTAGGGCTTCATGGCCCTCCAAAGGAAGGTTTTTCAGATTCCAAACAGAGTGTTATGAGAAAAAAAGAAAAACCAGCTGTGCAAGATGTGAGTATGTCTCCGTTAAAAATTACAATAACAACTGTATCACCTTAGTTTAATGTCATTTCAATGTATTATAATCCTTTTCTTCATAACAAGCATAAAAAAATCGTTAGTAGTATGTCTCCGTAGCTAGCTAGCTAAATTTCCTGTTCCACCTTAAATGGTTACATTCTCGCGCCTCAGGTGTCAGAACTGCTGCACCATTTAAGGTGGAACTGGGGAATTCGAACAAGAAGCTGGTGAATGGCAGGCTTTAGCTTCATATCACTGAAGATTTAGGGGTGGGCAATAGTAAATAAAAAAAAGTTCTGTATAAATAAAGACTTATTATTTCATATGCACAGGGATCAGTCTGACAACATTTCTTTCACATGTAAACCATTCTGACAGTCTCATAATAGGAGCAGATGATAAAAGACACCCTGCATAAGAATAATGTCTAAACCATTTCTTCTTTTTTTCTAAAATCTGATTCAGAGTCACTTTATTTTGCCAAGTATGTTATACATACAAGGAACTTGTCTAGGTGAGTGCACACATATATGGCCTGTAAAATACTGAAGAGGCCAGACAAGTACACAGACTGTTAACAAGTGACACATAAAATAGTGACACATAAAATAAAAATACAATAAATTGAATAAAGAATAAAAAAAACAATGAAGGGCTAAAGAGACATGTGAATAACTGTACATAGGCAGACATGCATATCTATATGTATGCAGGTCTGAGGGGCCTGAGCTCTTTTGAGGGATGATCAAACTAATAATCTTCTCAATAGTGGACATATGTTTGTGAGTGAGAAGCTTAGCAGTAGTGTTGTAGTGCCGTTCTGCACAGGGATAATGGGAGCAGCAGAGTACTGAAGAAGATTATGAGAGAGAAAAACAAATGTTGAGAATCATTCAAACGATAAGCAAACTTTGGAAGATTCATAATACATTAAAGAAATGTAACAGAAGAAATAACAGGACGATTAGATGAAGAAAACTACAAACCAGTAACAGTGAGGATCAGCGTGAATTTTTTTTTTTCATGTTCCTCTTTATTGTGTATATTGCTGTGAACAAGCATTAGACCCCTCCCCAAATTCTTCTATTTAAATATTTGTCACACTTGAATGTTTTAGATGATCAGACTACTTTTAATATTAGACAATGATAACCCAAGTAAACACAAAATGCTGTTTTTAACTGATGATTTCATTTATTGAAGGAAAAATGCCGTTCAGCCCCACCTGGCCCTATGTGAAAAAGTAATTGCCCCCTTATCTACTAAATCAACCAGTTAACCAAACTCATTTGACTACTGGGTTCAGTTTTACTATCCACACCCAGGCATGTCCTGTTCAATCTAAACATCACTTAAATAGGTCTCAAAAAGCAGCACATGATGCCAAGTTCTAAAGAGATCCAAATACAGATGCAGAACATAGTCATTGAAATTTACCTGTCTGTAAAGGGTTACGAAGCCATTGCTAAGGCTCTGGGACTCCAGCGAACCGCAGTGAGAGCCATTATTCACAAAAGGAGAAAACAGCTGTGAGCCTTCCCACGAGTGCCAAAAATGTCACCGAGAGCACACTGACAACACATTCAGGGGCTCGCAAAAGAATCCAGATGAACATCTGAAGAACTGCAGGCCTCACTTTCCTCAGTTAAGAACAATGTACACGATTCCACAATAAGAAAGACGCTGGGCAAAAATGGTATCCATGGGACAGTTGCAAGGCACAAAACACTGCTAACCAAAAAGAACACAAAACCTTGTCTCACATTTGCCAAAAACATCTAGATGACTTTTGAGATAATATGAATCGAAGGTGGAACTTTTTGGAAGACATGAGTCCTATTACATCTGGCATGAACCTAACACAGCATTCTACCATAAGAACATCATACCAACAGTCAAACATGGTGGTGGTAGTCTGATGGTCTGCAGCTGCTTTGCTTCTGCAGGACCTGGATGATGTCATAATTGATGGAACCATGTTTTCTGTTCTCTATCAGAAAATCTTGAAGGAGAATGTCTGCCCGTCACTTCATGGTGTAAAGCTTAAGCACAGTTGGGTTATGTAGCAGTATAATAATCTAAAGCACACAAACAAGTTCGCCTTTGAATAGCTCAAAACAAAACAAAATGAAGGTTTTGGAGTGGCCGAGTCAAAGTCCTGACTTGAATGCTTCAGCAAGACCTTAAACAGGCAGCTCATGCTCAAAAACCCTCCAATGTTGCTGAATTAAAACAATTACACCACAGCGATATAAAAGACTCATCGCAAGTTGTTGCAAACATTTGACTGCAGTTGTTACTGCCAAGGGTTGCACAACCAGTTATAAAGTTTAGGGGGCAAATACTTCTTCACAGGGGTGATACAGGTTTTGATCAAATCTTTATCTTCAATAAATGGAATGATCATTTAAAAACTGATAAACATTTAAATGTGACAAATTAGCAAAAATAGAAGAAAGGGGCAAATACTTTTTCACAGCACTATATGTCCAGTTTTAGTTGATACAAAACCACTCCCATGGACTGAGTGACCAAAGAGAACAAGCAGTAAGCATTAAATATTCCACCACTCTCGGGAGTGTCTAACAATGTGTAAATTTACACGAGTTGTTGAACAATTAGAGTGAACCGAACAGAAGAATAAAGTTTATGCTTTCTTGTTATTGTGCTATCACAAATGGAACAGGAAATGGAACTACACATATATATATATATATATATATGCAGAAATTATGTTGGCGGTGCTTGTGTGTGTTTTAGACTGGTGGAACTGACCTGGGAAGGGCTGGTACACAATACGTCCATGACTACAATGATAACAGAGAAAGAAATTAAGAGGAGGAGAAAATGTTGTGATAAGCATAAGAGCAGGTGTACAAGGTATCGACTAAGAATCGAAAAAGAGACAAAAGCAAGAGCAAGAGCACAACAAGAAGAGTGTCAAACAAGGATACCTTTGTACAACTTATTTCATCATGGAAGGAATTAATTTACCTTTGGTGAGTCAACTTCAACTTTGTCCTAAGATTATTAAGAAGAGCACTGCACACTAAATGTTGTCAATGGGCAGAAGGCATGAAGACGAGCATCAACAACTGGAAACTTATTCTAAAAGCAAAGCTGTCAAATTTATATTCAAGATATATGAATGCAAGACGCTAAACACCTTGAGTATTACAAATACAATCATTTGCTCTCATATTTTTTGCTAGTGGCCAATCCAACCAATTCTCCAACTCAGACTTGACCTATGCATGGAAAACTAGTCACTTGCAAACATCAATTAATTCACAACTTGTGATTACATTTGTCAATTGTGATCCCATTCTATGATTTCTGTTGGCGTTTAATATAGATTCAGCATCTATTTATGCACACAAACTGTGTTCATGGTTTTATATTAAGCCACTGCCTTTACTACAGAACCCTTTGAGATGTACACGTGGAGAATTGCCACTGATTTCAACATTTAAAATATAAGTCAAATTTATGTCAATGAATATAATATTTAGCTTTAGTATATTAGATTTGTTGGGTTACTTTTGGTTATTCACTTCACTGTAGACCCTGCCTGAATTAACAGCCTGTTGTTTTTCCATGCTATATATAAAGTCAGTCAGTCGACCAGAGGTGTTTGATTTTGAAGGCATCTCTATGATCCATTACTTCACTGACAACTGGGAGAACATTCAGAACTTCCAGGCAAGACCGGATGACATCCTTATCGCCACTTATCCCAAAGCAGGTGTGTGTACTTTTTAAAGGGATCTTTTGACAGTGAAAGCAACTGAAAATGTAGCTGAAAATGAAGAAGGGCTATCAGCAGATTTGGTTGATACTGTCAGAGTTCACCATAAACTTTCAAGCATCCAATTAGCATTAACTTAGACACACCTATCTTTTTCCAGTACCATTTAACATGTATATGTTGTATATAATATATATATATATATATAACTTGTATATATAGGCCCATTAATTTGTCAGAATACAGTATAGTTCTAGAAGGTACATTTACTTTCAGATGACCCAACTATACAAACACTCATCTCTATCAGGAACCACATGGGTGTCCTACATTTTGGACCTGCTCTACTTTAGCAAATTGGGACCAGAGCGTCAGACCTCACTGCCCATCTTCTTACGAGTACCTTTCCTTGATGGGGCCTTTCCTGGGCTGCCTACAGGTCTGTGGCATTGCTTACTCTAATACAACACTCCTAATGCAATCACCAACAAAGTCACAGAAAGGTGTTTTGTCCTTATGTAGGGGTGGAACTGGCAGACAAGTTGCCCACCATTCCACGCCTTATCAAAACCCATCTTCCTGTTCAGCTAGTGCCCAAATCATTCTGGGAACAGAACTGCAGGGTACAGTATGTCAGTATGTGGAGCATAAATATGTTGAAGTTTTCAATGCTGTTGCCAATATGTATAGCAGGTCTGTTACTGGTTCGTACATTTAGGATATCTGTACAAACGTTAATACTCATGTCCTCAGCTTTACAGAGTCTAACGTGCTGTGCAGCTCAGCTACTTGTGTTTCATTTTGCTGTCTAAAGTTGTCTAAATTTCATTAAATGGCATTGTGGAGAAAAAAATCTCAACCCAAACCCTTAGATTCTGTGTTAATCAAAGAGGCCTGCTTTAACTGTCTACATCTTAATCATGACCATTAAACTGGACTTTGTCTAGTGAGCACTTTGAGCAGGTCCTACAAAGGCTGCAACATATTAAAACCATTGCTTTATGTTCTCTCTAGTGTTTCATTCAACACATTCATTCATTCTACTTTTACATTAGTAGAATACACAGAAGAGTTGGCAGTAACTAGGTGATATGGCAAAAATAAATACCACAATAGTTCAAGAAATTCTGATAATACATCATATTAACCACAATATTGTAGAGTTCACCACTATTAAAAGAGACGCAGTTTTCACACCAGTCATGGTGCTTTATTTTCCAGCTGTTGTTGGCCACAGCCACGCCATACAAAGCTTTCCTCTGTTCTGTCAGCTTATTCTCTGACTCAGCTCATGGCTCTCTCGTCTGTCCTAATCTCTCTTTGCTCACCCACTCACACCCGTCCCCCAACCTAGTCCCGCCATTTACAATAAGAGTCTTCAGCAAACTGAACCAGTGCAATAATAGCTAGAGAACGCATAACCTAACAAACTACACAATTTATTTGTAAATATAACAGGACTAATTATGTTCTCTTTATAATTAAACAGATAAGAAATGTTTTGGAAAGTGTTTTTGAGTACTGATATCTATGATACACTCAAAAAAGCTTATTGACATCTTTTGATGTAATTTATCAGGATGACGATAAATATTTAAAGGTAAAGTTAATGGGTAAAGAAGAAAAAGGTGAATAAACAAATGTACTTGTGCTTAATTAGCTCAATTTCACCATGGAAATATGAGGAAAAATGATAAACATCAGGTGCCACAGAGACCAAATTAATTCACATGGGGAAGATTAGGGAATGCACAAATGAGAAATGAGACAAAAACTGTTAAGCAATGGCTATTTAAAAACCTTAACACATGAAAATGCACATATATACTTTTAACTGGAACCCTAGTGAACCTGCCTGGAAGAGTATATTACATGAAAATCTAGCTGTCTGCCAAAAAGTTTACTTAGGCTAAATTTTCTTCAATTAAATCATTAAAATTTTTTCTCATATTACCAGTGTGAGGCTGAGACATTTTTTCACGAATTTTCCATCCATCTTTATTAAGAGTGCCAAATGATTACGTCACGCCTTGCACCTTGCATCTGCAGTCACTGGCCATTTTATCAGGTACACCTCCCGTATAGGTGCACTTTGTCAGTATTATATTATTGACTGTAGCCCTCTGTTGCTATACAGAGTGTAGCTTTAACACAGTTGGACCTGATTAAATTGCCAGTGAGTGTAGACACAAGGTGGGCGTACTAGTTAATCTGGTGTGCTGAGCCTAAATATTAGGTTCTAGCTTATCAGCACTAGCAATCATCTCTCTCTTTCCAGGTTATCTACACAGCCCGCAATGCAAAAGACAATGCTGTGTCTTATTATCACTTTAACCGGATGAACATGGGACAGCCTGATCCAGGAGACTGGAGCACTTTTCTACAGACGTTCATCGACGGAAAGAGTAAGTGCGACAGTTACTACGTCCAGTAACAGTGAGTAAGTGATCCGCTTGAGAAGAACTTGCCTACAGAACCCTTGCAATACTGTGGGGTGTTGGGCCCAGACACACAAATTTATATTTAGAAAATAAAAATTATTCTTTGTATTTTTAGGCTAAAAATGTTGAGAAATCCTGCCTGGAATCACAGAATGAGTGTCTTGATGCCACAAAGCGCAATGACGCTTGAGCTGCTGTGGCAGATAGTACAGTGAAGTGTTCTTCCTCGATAAGAAAAAGTAAATTGCTAGTAAGCAACTGGCACAACTAGCCATTGCCAAATGACTGAAGATAACTTCAGTGTTTAAAACCTCAGAGGAAGATGGACCAAGCAAGACACTCCCACTTTCACAAAGAGAGCAGCAGCTGATGATAGCAAGTATGAGAAGAACAGAAAGGGCTCTGATGTTCTCAAAAAAGCTATGTTTTAGCAAAAAGGCCTCTACATTTTGAGCTGCACCAGTGGAGATGAGATTTCAGAGCTTTAGTAAAAGTTCCATTACATCTTCCTCTTTACCTTTTAGCTGTGTTTGGTCCTTGGTATGATCACGTGTGTGGATACTGGGAGAAGAAGCAGACGCACTCAAACATTCACTACATGTTCTTTGAGGATATGGTGGAGGTAGGGGACATACAGTGGAAAAAAATTCACTAGCTTAGCTGTTTCAGCTGTTTTATCATATGTAGCCATGTTTTAGCATCATGTTGATTACTGTAGAATTTGCACCTTGAACATTTCTTCCACCATAGGACACTGGGCGTGAGGTAGAGCGTTTGTGCTCCTTCCTTGGTTTATCTACATCAGCTAAGGAGAGGGAGAGAATTACGAAAGGTACTCAGTTTGATGCCATGAAGCAGAATAAGATGACCAACTATTCTACAGTCCCTGTCATGGACTCCAAGATCTCACCGTTCATGCGTAAAGGTTAATATGAATCCTGTTGACTGAAGCCTTTAGCATATGGATAGTATACAGATAGATGTCTGGTCTAGACAGTCTAATGTCAAATGATTGAGGAAGGTGTAGCTCAGCCAAAGTATTGCAACTATAACCACATCATCCTAGGACAGATATTTAGTTGAAGTTAGTGATACATAGTGTTAGATTGTAGTAGGAGAGACATTCAATAAGGCAGACATTTGACTCCATATTAGTTGGTTTCCCTTGAGACACTGTTGGAAGATGTTTTTCACTACAAAATATAGGGGTAGACCTAACTCGTGGGTGGAATTGGGCCAAAAAATGATGGAGAGAAACTGGGTAGGGTTCACCTAGTGTCTGCATCTTTGAGTTGCATTGGCAAAAAACATCCTAGATTTGATGATGTAAATAAGGAAGCAAGACTGGAGTTGGACGCACAAATGCTGATGCATGCAAAAGGAGAAAAAACAATAAATTCTACTATCAATTTCAAGGAAATTATTGATAATTACTAATACATTAATAAGTGGTCCCAGCCCTACACTGAAGTGATGTTCAAGTTTCTGTTCCCTTCATCAGTGTATTTCTCTCCATATCTGTTTCTGAAGGGAAAGTTGGGGACTGGAAGAATCACTTCACAGTGGCTCAGAATAAACAGTTTGATGAACACTACAAACAGAAGATGAAGACCACCACCCTCCGATTCCGAACAGAGATTTAAAGCTTTAGAGTTTTATTTAGTGTGACAATACTGTCAAAATGTACCATTCCTGCAGTACATACAGTCCCTACACACAAAACTAAGCTGCAAAAAACAAGGCATTTGCATATACACACCAATTCATCCTAGAGCAGTTTGCCCCCAACCATTCACAATGAACCTAAAAGGAATGTTTCAGGTTGTACCGCTTTTTACACAGGTACAATACAGAGCCTATCAGTCTTAAAGGCACAGTTGGTTTAATTCTAGGGGATAAAAAGACTTTGGATTGGTCATGCAAGATGAAATACAACTGGTACATAAACGTACACAAATGTCAAACGTGGAGATTAGAGGAAAAAATAAAATAAAATGAAAATTGTAGAATATGGATCCTGAATCTTGCATATTGTACATTGCATGTTGACTCACTTTATTTAAGTGCATTTATCTTTTATTTTTCATCAATAGTCTTCATAGAAAATGCTTTTTTTGGTGTTAACAATAAAATAACATGTTAATAACGTTATTCTCAAACAGAATTAAAGGTTTGGATACATTTTACATGTAATTTTAACCATGAAGGTGTTTTGTGTTCACATTTATCAGGTCGACCAGTATTGCTGTGATCAAGTTAAACTGGTGATGCCTTTTTGGGTTTCCAAGTGTTACAAGTGGTTTAGCCCTGTTATTGGAGATTGTGAGATGGAATATCACAGATGCAGATACGTCCATGGGTCATCAATTTTCCTGTTGTTTTCTTGACAATATTGACAGTCCCGTATTAGGAAGATGCCAAGACAAGGTGACCCCTTGCATAAGGACAGAAGCCCACAGGGGAAACATGCATTGTGCATCCGATTTGTGCAGAATAACAATATTACCACAGCAATAACATTGAACATTTCATTGATAAATGCAACCGATTAAAACACATGTTTAGTGTCTGAAGCTTGCTTCTCTAGATTTGCAGTGGAACTACAAGGCTAATATAACAGAAGTCTGTCACCCCACAAAAATTACATTTTTTACAATTAATTAATTTTTACAATTAACATTTCGCTGCTGTTGGAACAAAACCTTGTATCTCCAAAACGGTAACTTTACAGGAGAAGAAAAAAACATACTTCACTTTTAAGGTAAGTCAATGGAACCAGACTGTTTTCCAAGTCATTTTGGGTCATTTCTGTTGGTCCGTTCATCATGAAATTCCCATATAATGTAAAGGGCAACGGGCATTTTCAAATTATGTCAAAAACTGAAAAATGTCAAAAATGGAGATACGAGGTTTTGTTCTGACAGCAGCGATTTATCTTTTTTCACTGCTCAAAACAAATGACTCTTTCCAAAGTCCCACTACATTAAGTTTATTAATCACACTCACTCATTAGTTCCATGTGTAGTGAATCAGTACATAGTAAATCCATATTCAAGCACTAACTAGATCCCTGGGGGTGGGAACACTGGGACACTAATGACTCAATTATGTATGACATGGATGCAGAGACGCAATGACTAACAACACTGAATGGGAAACCTTCCCAATGTGCTTTGCCATGCTATCATTTTTAGGACGGAATATTTTAGTCATTTCATGAACATTTTCATTTTACACCAAAACCCAGACACAGCAGTGTGTCAGTTACACACAGCATTGTTTTATTGAAATTAAGCAAGAAACCTTAACAAGAACATGCTATACTAGATCTCCACCATCCTTACATAATATAAAGTTACACAACAAATTGTCACGTGCATTGATGCATTACTGATTACTGTTTACGTCATTTGAGCACAGCAGCTGCCCTTTACATTGTGTGAAAAATTTGTAGTGAAGGAACCAACAGAAGTGCTCCAAGGTATTGGCTGTGTTTGTAGTGTTGGATTATCTGGAAGCAAATCTAACTTCAAAAACTGCACCAATCACATACAAGACAGTCAAGAAAATCTTTAAACTGTAGACAATTAAATCTAGCCAGTTTTGATGTCCTCCTGTGAACATGGTGTAAGAGTAGGAAGAACCAAAAAAAGGTTACACTGACAATGCTTGTGTGGGAATAATATGAACTTCTGAAAGTAACCTGGGATGGGCGGCACAAGATATGTATGTGACTACAGTGACTGCAGATAAAAAACATGAAGACAGGCCAAAGATCAGCTGTGACAAAAGTGCACGAGTGGAGCAAGGGAAAAGAGTCCCAGACAAGATATCGAGGGAGAACCAAAACAGAGAAACGAGAGGAGCACAATAAAAAGAGGACCAGACAAGGACCCTTTTGTACTACTAACTTCATCATGGAAGGACCTGAAATACCTCTGGTGAGTCAATTTTCCAAACAAAAACATTTTCTGAACTTTTCCAAACATTTCAACATGTAATAATTATCTTGAGCCTGCTATATTAGACTTGTTGAGTTACTTTTGATCATTCGTTGTCCTGAAGACTTTGCCTAAATTAACAGACTGTAATTTTTTATATCATACATGCAGTCATTAAGTCGAGCAGAGCTGATCGATTTTGAAGGCATCTCTATGATCCATTACTTCACTGTCAACTGGGAGAATATTAAGAACTTTCAAGCCAGACCAGAAGACATCCTTATTGCCACTTATCCCAAAGCAGGTATGAGGGTTTTTTTTAAGGGGATTGCTTGTACACCCCCACCTTCTCACAAATTATGCATACCAACAAATCAAATGTGATACAGTGTGTGGTATAGTTAGATTTCCGCTCAGCACTGGAATTGGTGAAATAAGTGACCTTATTTACTCTAAATGCATCGCAACAGTTGCCATTGAGCACACTGGTTCTAGCATTACCCAAAGTACTGTCAATGTGGACTATTCACACAAAACTATGTCAAGCCTTTACCAACAACGATACAACTGGTCAGAAATGATCAGTGAGAAAAGATCTTTGGGACAAAAACTTATAGATCACAGGGGTCAAAGAAATATGGTGAGACTTGTGCAAGAAAACAGATGGTTCAGAATCTGGTAAAGCACATACACACTTAACACTGGTCTCAAACGGGATACAAGAGCCAAAAACAACGATGCTGTTAACAAAGAAAGTGTGTCCGAGTAGACACAGGACCATCAAAATTGAACCACGGAGGTCCGATGAATTCAGGTCCCTTTGCACCATGCTGACTGAAGGACCATAATTAGGTGCAAGCAACAACTCCATGAAGCCTTCCTACTTGGTGTTAAGAGTACATGACAATTGTGGCAGTGTGATGGTGTGGGCAATATTTTCAGTGGACCACACAGTCCCAGATCTCAACCCAATCGAGAACCTTTCGGATGAGGTGCAAACAGCTTTTTGCCTAGCTGATCCATTAGTAGCTACTGTGCCACAAAATAATTACTGCGTGGCACAATGTTCCAGCACAACATATCCATGCTCAGAGGAATTCTTCTCCTTCTCGTGCTGTTCTCCGACAGGGACTACCTGGGGGTCCTATATTTTGGACCTGCTCTACTTTGGCAATACAGCGCCAGAACGTCAGGCTTCTCTACCCATCTACTTGCGAGTACCTTTTCTTGAGGCAACCTTCCCTGGGATGCCATCAGGTAAGTGGCCTTGCTCCCTCATTAGCAGAGAAGTACTCAAAACTGTCAAAACACCTACATAAGCATGGCATGATGCATAACTTCTTGTTTGCCTTTGAGGATAGACTAACAGGCCTAATACAAACACTTTAAAATTTTAAGGAGAGTTTTTCATACCTAGGGGTGGAGCTGGCAGACAAGTTGCCCACCACTCCACGCCTCATCAAAACCCATCTTCCAGTTCAGCTGGTGCCCAAGTCTTTCTGGGAACAGAATTGCAAGGTACAGTGTGTCTGTATGTTCTTTGATATTATTCCCAAAGTGAATGTCAATTCAGTTTGTAGTGGTACCTGAATGAAATGCTATTACACAGAAAGCTGATTCACTACCTATGGTAGTAACATACTGCTATAAAAGTAGCCATAAGAACAATGGTGTCCTCAATGTTCAAAAACATCACTATATCTTCGCTTTTATAATCCTTAAAGTTGTTATGTAACAAGCTCTTATTTTACAACTTGGGACAAAGTGCATGTTTAAGCAAAGCTCAAGCATAGTTTCTGTGCAATGTGAGCAAGTGTTTCCTTTCAAGTAGCAAGTAATGAATCTCTTTTCCATTAAGACCACACTCATCATAATTTAACCCTGTCCCTAAAGGCCTGGGCCTGGTGTGAAACCCTCTATGGTCTATTACTCTGCATATATCTTAACCATAGCCATAAAAAGGGGCAATCTAGTCTGAGATCTACAGGTTGATCAGGTCCTAAAAGCCTGTGACATCACCTCTCCCAGGCCTCAAACATTACAAACAATGATGTCACAACAGTAGGATTAATAAATAGCCCTCTATACTCCGTTCCAGCTAATCATTGTTATTGATTATATGTCTCTCTAGGTTGTCTATGTAGCTCGCAATGCCAAAGACAACGCTGTATCTTATTATCACTTTGACCGGATGAACATGGTAGCACCGGAGCCAGGAGACTGGAACACTTATGTTCAGAAGTTCATGAATGGAAAGAGTGAGTTAGACCGTTACTACATCCAAGGAGATGCATACTGACCGCTGACAGAGTGATTTAGTGACACTAATGCCATTTTAAAATTTGTTATATCCAATATATTATCTTCCATATTATCCTTTAGCCATGTTTGGTCCTTGGTATGATCACGTGTGTGGATACTGGGAGAAGAAGCAGACGTACTCAAACATTCACTACATGTTCTTTGAGGATATGGTGGAGGTAAGTAACAAGCTTAACTGTTACAGACAATAAGGTGATCTGCAGATGAGTTTTTCCATTTGTAGCCATGTTTTTGCTTGACATTGATTACTGTAGGTCTAGAATTTGGGCTCTAAACATTTCTCTCTTACTTGTGTAGGACACTGGGCGTGAAGTGGAGCGCCTGTGCTCTTTCCTTGGTTTATCTACACCAATAGAAGAGAGGGAGAGAATTACGAATGGTGTTCAATTTGATGCCATGAAACAGAACAATATGACCAACTACTCTACAATCCCACTCATGGACTTCAAGGTCTCACCGTTCATGAGAAAAGGTTAGCCATGAATCCCTGTTGGCCCACTAACCCAGGTTTTAGGCACAATAATTAGTCTACAGATTCTAAAGGTTTTTATAAGCAACTCACCAGGGAGCTCATGCTCATATCAGACTAGACTGAATGAAAATCTGAATTGCACTCAAAAAAAGCTCTGAATATATATATACAATAATATTAATGCCATTTTTCATGTCAGAGCTATGTTGTCATAGTTGCTCTTGTAGTTTGTTTACTCTAAGAAATCTTTCTTTAAAGACTTGAATTTGAAATGAGTGTTTCAGTGTGTCTAAAATCACAAAAAATGAACTGTTTACTTCTCTCTATCTTTGTTTCTGAAGGGAAAGTTGGGGACTGGAAGAACCACTTCACTGTGGCTCAGAATGAGCAGTTTGATGAACACTACAAACAGAAGATGAAGAGCACCACCCTCCGATTCCGAACAGAGATTTAAAGATCTAATATGTTACTTATTTTTCCTGATGATAGAGTTTGATGAGTTTCATTTATGGAAACTAAGCTGCCAAAATCCAGGCATTTGCATTTACTTATCAATTCATCCTACAGCAGTTTAGCCCCAGCCATTCACATTGAACGTAAAAGGAATGTTTCAGTCTGTACTGCTTTTTCCATAGGTACAATACAGAGCCTATCAGTCTTAAAGGCACAGTAACAAAAAACAGCCAGTCTAAGAAATAAACAGAAATTGGAAAATTGTCATGTAACAGTTAAATATATCTTTTTGGTACATAAATACACACACGTCATGTTGACATTAAAGAGAAAAATAAAATACAAGAAAACTGTAAGATTTGGGTCTTGAACTGTTGATTCAGTTCATTTAAGCACGTCTCTTTTTTTCATCAATTCTCTTCTTCCAAAGTGTTTTTTTCTAGCACATTATTATCAAGCTAAATGCAAGATTTAGACACATTTTATGTCATTTTAACCATGATGGTGTTTTGTGTTCAGATTTATCAGTTCAACTATTTTTGCTGTGATCTAGTAAACAGTGGATGACTTGTTTTTGGGGGTTTGAATATCCATGGGTCATCAATATCAGCCAATATTACCGGTCACGTAACCCAAACCCTGACAGTCTTGACAGTCCCATATTAGGAATACACCATTTGCAGTAAAAATACACCATATTTGTAAAAGAGATTAGTGTGTACAGGATAGTACATTAACCACATAAACCAACACAGTTTGGGAAAATAAATTGGAACAGAAGCAAATTTTGCCCCACTGCTTCACACTTCACAAGATGGTTTCTCAAGGGTTCTTTAGTAAAGAAAATGGTTCTATACAGAACCATGAACACTTACTGAACCCTTTGCATGATTAAAGGATTCTTTGTATCGTAAAAGTGTTCTTCACATTGATGGAGAATGTGCTTTAGATGGTCCTATATAGAACCTTCTTGAAAACAGTTATATATAGCACCAAAAAGAGTTCTTCCATTGTAACAAGCTTGACATCGCAACAATAGAAGAACCCTTTTTGGTGCTTTACAGAACTGTTTTCAAAAACACATTCTCCAACAATCTGAAGACCATTTTGTAATGCACAGAACCCTTCAATCATTAATCAGCGTTCATGATTGTATTCAGAATTTTTTTTTAAAACTAAAGGACCCTTGAAGAACCATCTTTAAGAGTGAAGGACAAGATGACCCACTACATAGGGACAAAAGCCCAGAGTGGAATCATCATGATTTGTGCAGAATAACAATATTACCACAACAATAACTTTGAATGCTTCATTGATAAATGCAACAAATTAAAAATTACACAACAAAAATTAGTTGTGAATTCAAAAAAGTCCTATACCATTTACCATGTTTCTGCTGGTTAAATGGGACATAGTAGATTCAAATACATGTTTCCAACCAAGAAATCAAGAGGTTTCTGAAGGACAAAGGGCTCATCCACACTAAACACAAGACTTCTCCAAACATAGTTTGAGTAGGAAATGTTCATTATTATACCATTTTCTGGAATGTGCCCTTGAATTCTCTGCAAAGGAACTGGTTGTGTTTGTAATGTTATCTGAAAGCAAATGTAACGTATGCTTATGTAAACTGTCCCATTTATATATCTGATAGTCAAGAAAATTTACTCTAAGAATCTGGAGAATCATTCCTTAAATGCACAGATTACACTGGCGATGCTTGGCACATTATGAACTACTGGAAGTAACCTGTGGATGGGCGGTACTCAATGTGTATGTGGCTACAATCATTTCCGATCAAAAAAACAGAACTAAACAAATAAAGACAGGGCAAAGATCAGCTGTAACAAGTACAAAATTAGAACAAGAGAAAGAGTGCCAGGCAATATATTGAGGAAGAACCAAAGAAGAGAAAAGGGATAGGTGCAATAAGAAAAGGGTCAAAGACACTTCTGTTCCACTTACTTCATCATGGAAGGATCTGATAAAGCTTTGGTAAGCCAACTAAAAACAAGTTTCTTAACACTGTAACATGTAATATTTATCTTAATCAAGCTATACTACATTTGTTGTGTTATTCATTGTACTAAAGTTTTTCACACCATACACACAGTCATACAGCCGAGTGGAGTTGATTGATTTTGAAGGCGTTCCTCTGGTCCATTTTATCACTGACAGCTGGGAGAACATTAAAAACTTCCAAGCAAGACCAGATGACATCCTCATCGCCACTTATCCCAAAGCAGGTGTGTGGGCTTTGTTACAGGGATTGTTTGTATCCCCCACCTTCATGCAAACTGTATATACCAACAAATCATATGTGGTATTAATTAGACATGAGATTTTTAAGTGTCATTTAGTTTTAAGCTGAGCATTGGAATGGGCAAAATGTGTGACCTTAGTTACTTAGCGCAATAGTTGGCACTAAGCATGCTGGTTCAGGCAACACCCAAACAGCGGTCATTCCTGACTTTCATGCACAACTGTTTAAAGCCTGTACCGAAAATGGTGGCAAAAAACTACCAATGATCGGAGACACATAAAAACACATAAGGATCACAGAGGTCAAAGAAAAGTGCTGAGAATCATGCGACCAGACGGGTAAATCACATCACACATTCAATACTGATGTGCAAAATGTATTCAGAATGTCTTGCTCCACACAAAACACAAGACATTTTTTCTCAAATGGGCTACAACAGCCAAAGACAAAGTTGAGTGATGATGTGTTCAATAATCAAAGCGTGGGCAAAGGACCACCAAAACTGGACCACTGAGGAGTGCAATAAAGATCTGGTCAGGTGAATTGAGGTGTCTTTAGCATCATGCTACTTTAAGGATCAGAATTTGGTGCAAGCAACATGTGTCCACGGAGTAGTTTGGTGTTAACAGTACAGCACAATTGTGGCAGCGTGATGGTGTGAGGAATGTTTTCCTAGCACTCATTAATGTCTGGATACCCACTGAAGAGTATCTGAATAGTACAATATATCCAAACACTGTTATTGACCAAGTTCATCCACACTTAGATGGTCACATGGCATTAATTACCACTGAACGGTTCCAGGAACATGACAGCAAGTTTTCATTGCCTCAGAGAACTGCACAGTCCCTCGATCTCAACCCTTTCAATCCCTTTTGGGAGATGCTCAGAGGAATTCTTCTCCTTCTCTTGCTGTTCTCCAACAGGGACTACCTGGGTGTCCTATATTTTGGACCTGCTCTACTTTGGCAATACATCGTCTGAGCGCCAGACTTCTCTACCCATCTACTTGCGAGTACCTTTTCTTGAGGCAAACATCCCCAAGATGCCTTCAGGTAAGTGGCCTTGCTACCTGTGACAAAACACACACGATCAGTGAGGATTTTGTCAGCTTAGTCCTCATAAGCAGAGAAGCAGTCAAAACAGTTAAAAAAACCCTTACATAAGCTATTTATTATGCATAAGTTTGCCTTTGCCTTTGAGGATAGATCCACTGGCTTAATACAAATACTGAGAAATTTTATGGAGAGGTTTGTATCCTTTGGCAGGGGTGGAGCTGGCAGACAAGTTGTCCACCACGCCACGCCTCATCAAAACGCATCTCCCTGTTCAGTTGGTGCCCAAGTCCTTCTGGGAACAGAATTGTAGGGTATGTGGGGTTCTTGTCTGTATGGTCTTTGATTTTAGTCCCAATGGGACTGTTATTGGTTCTTGAACATTTAAGATCCATACAAATGTTAATATTTACGCAGCCCTCTGTGTCACAGAGACTGATGTGCTGTAAAACTCAGTTTGTAGGAGTAACTGAATGAAATGATATTACTAGGGATGCACAAAGCATGAATTTTAATGGCTGATTTTGATCCCAATTTCTAGATGATTTTTATTAGCCTTTTTTTTCTATGAAGCTCACACTGTATGGGGTAAATGAACAAATGAAATACACTAGCACATTTTTAGTACTTTGTATTAGCCAAACCTGCAATATAAAGAAAAATGATTCTTTCTTTATTGGGGCAGTCTGGCATGTAAAATTTATGCTACATAAGTGATACATGAGGTCATGCATAATTATGCTACAACGTTTTGGTATAGGTGTAGCAGCAGGTTTCAAATACAGCACGAATGCACTAACTTGGCTCATGTCATTTATGCCCTAAAATCGCAACACCGATCAAATAAAACAAATAAAATCGATAAAAACAATAAATTGGCAGATTGCCAATTTTGTGTTTTGAGCAAAAATCTGCTGATTCCAACTGTGAATCCCTAAATATTACAGAGAAAGCTGATTTACCACCCATGGCATCATATATTACATCACATATCTCTGTCTACATCTCAGGTATAACCATACTAGAGGGCAAACTGGTGTCAGATCCATAGTTTGAACAGGTCCTAAAAGCCTGTAACATAATGAAAAAAAACATAGCATAATGACCTCTTCTAGGCCACAAACATTATAAACAACAATTCAATTTACAACAGTAGGGTATTTATAGCTTTTTATATTCTATTGCAACTTATCAGTGGTATTCATCATAAATCTCCCCCAGGTTGTCTATGTAGCTCGCAATGCCAAAGATAACGCTGTATCTTATTATCACTTTGACCGGATGAACATGATAGCACCGGAGCCAGGAGACTGGAACACCTACCTACAAAGGTTCATGGATGGAAGGAGTGAGCAAAACCATTACTGCATCCAATAAAGTGTATACTGACCACTGGCAGATGATTTAGTAATATCAATTTTAACGCTATTTCAAAATTTGCTATATTCTATGTAATACCTTCCATATTACCTTACAGCCATGTATGGTCCTTGGTATGATCATGTACGTGGATACTGGGAGAAGAAGCAGACGTACACAAATCTTCATTACATGTTCTTTGAGGATATGGTGGAGGTAGGGAACATACTAGCTTCGCTATAAAATCACATAGCTGGGACAACTGGGATGACAATGAGGTGGTTGTTTGACCAGTTTTTCCATACATAGCCATGCTTTGGCTTGATATTCGTAACCGTGGGTCCAGAATTTGACCTTTGAGGATTTCTTTTCTGCTTGTCTAGGACACTGGGCGTGAGGTGGAACACTTGTGCTCCTTCCTTGGTTTATCTACATCAACAGAAGAGAGGAAGAGAATTACGAAAGGCACTCACTTTGATGCCATGAAGCAGAACAATATGACCAACTACTCTACAGTCCCAGTCATGGATTTCAAGATCTCACCATTTATGCGCAAAGGTAAGCAATCCTTATGGGCCCACTGACCAAATTCTTGAGCACATGAATAGTCCATTGTTTCTAAAGATTTTTATAAGCCAACTAAGCAGGGGGATTTCCATAAAAAAACAAGCAAGTAAAGAATTAAATAAATAAATAAGTAAAAAAGTATGCTCCCATGCAAAATTAAATAAAAAAATTAAAAGGTAGATTTTAAGTTATGAATTTTAGAGCTTCCCCACATCATGTATGCTGTATGCTGATATCAGATTTGACTGAACTAAAATTCTAACTAGGCATAAATACTAAGAAGCTCACAACGTGTGGGGTAAATAAACAAATAAAACACAATAGCCCATTTCCAGCACATTTCATTAGCTAAATTTGCAACATAAACAAAATTATTTGCTCTTCATTGGCATGTAAAATTGTCCATTTTAAACAACATTCATAAAATAAAGTGTTACATCCAAAGTAAGTGGCAACTAGCTATTTAGCACAATGAGACATGTAGAATTGTGCTACGACACAGTGAATAAGAGATCTGCACATTTCCTTGAAAATAAAATAATACATTAATTAATTAATTAATGTAACCATGCAAAATTAAATTTAATATATTTCAAGGTAGTTTTGAAGTTTTTTTTTTTCAAGTTTCTCCATATCAGGCTCTAAATGGCCTCTTAAATATTGAGCTTAGACGTTCACAGGATACTGATATTAGACTGGACTGAACTAAAATTTTAACTAGGCACAAATACTAAGAAAAAATGAATGAATAAAATACTTATAGCCCTAATGTCAATTAATGATTGGACCAGCACTGTATAGCTCAGCCACATGCTCTCTACTCATGTTTGTATGTTTTGATGTAATATGTGCTGCTGTGCTTTAACATATAGAGCCATTACATAGAGAAGAGATAGCATATCTGCTTCACCATTCTTTCACAACTAGATTATTTGATTAGCTTTTAGCAAAACATAGCTTGTTAATAAAGTATTAAATATTTGAACAATTTCTGCTGTTCTGCACACCGTTATGTAAAGTATCTACAGGCACATATTGGGACATATGTTTAGTTTAACTTACTGAACACAGACCTTTGACTCCTCTATATATGTATAAGCAACGATTAGGATGCTGTTGGGAGTTACAAGGAAGGTTTTCACCGCAAAAACGGGAGCTTGTGCTTTTGTTTAAAGCAGGGCTGGAGAAGTGTGGTCTAAGAACATTTGATTTGGCCCACTAGAAAGTTACTCTAATGCTACCTCCTCACTCACCGAGAGAACAAACTTATTTTTATTCTATATACTGCATTTTCAGTAGTGTTATATAACAGATGTTTAAAAACTTGATTTTTACCTTCTTTATATGTATATAATTTTTTTTGGTCCTTGGCCCACCACATACATTGTACTTTGGCAACCCTAAGACGAAACACCCCTGTTTACTCTAATTGTTGATGACACTGGCAGTTTCAAAACTATAGCCAGATACCAAAGATGTGAACTAATGAGCCAATATTTGTTCCTTTCCACTGTATATTTCTCTGCATATTTGTTTCTGAAGGGAAAGTTGGGGACTGGAAGAACCACTTCACTGTGGCTCAGAATGAGCAGTTTGACAAACACTACAAACAGAAGATGAAGAGCACCACTCTGCAGTTCCGAACACAGATTTAAGAAATCCTACATAATACACACTATGTGTTGGCCTTGTTTATTCAAGCATTTTTTTTTCATGAATTGGTATGTATTGTCAGGTATTGTTTTCCCTCCCATGCACAGTTTTCAGTCAGGCAACTTTTCTCTCACGCACACGCACAAGCACAAACACGCAAACCCTCATCCTGATAATCTAACAGTACGGCAAGATAGTGACAGACGCCCCCATGAGTTTCGCTCATGCACATAAACACACAGTTGAGGGAAATGAACTGGATTAACAGCCAATTGTGTTGTTTTAGCACAATGATGAAAAATCTTGTAAAAGCCCCAAAGGGGACAATTAACATGCAAACTCGTCTCTACTAAGCTGGCTACAGGCCTACATGATGACTTATCCTTTTGCATGTGTATCACTGCTAATGATCATTGTAGCGATTCATGACAAAAATGTAACTAATGCTGTTTTTGAGGCAAAATGTTTATGGAGGACCTCATCCCTTTCTGAGGGGGAGAATCTTTCACCAATGGTCTAACAATACATTCTCACTTCATGAAAAAAGTCTTTTTTTTAATTTTTCTCTTTCAAAATTATATATATATATATATATATATATATATATATATATATATATATATATATATATATACACAATAGTTAAATATATACTATATTATTATATATTATACTATAATATATAACTATTGTACAGCTTAATATGAATGCATTGATTCCTATTAATAAATCATTTGAGTGAATTTACAAATTGTTTATGTTTATTCACAAACATATCTTGTGGTATTTAAATCTTTCTGGTTAAGCGTCACAGTAAACAAAGTTAGTCTTTGAGAACTGAAGAGTTGGTTGACAAGGTTTGTAAAGGATTTACAAAATATAGGAGAAACAGAGAGAGAGAGAGAGTTATGTTGTGCAGAAAACCAATCCCCAGAAAGATCAAGTGACAGGAAGCAGGAAACCAAAGCAAAACACGCTAGGAATTCTAGGAACCACCCTCAAGAGTCTGGCAGTGTATTAAGTCAAACAGTACAGTTTAAGTTACACAGCACAGTAAGTGTATGACGAGAGCGTCCCGAGCAGAAGAACAAAGTTCATGTTTTCTTGCTGTTATTATGCTATTACATGCACTGATACATTACTACTATAATTACCATACTGAAGTGCATTATTATTTTCCTTTGGTTTGACAGAACATGCCATATTTCAAGACAGCTTTTCAACCCTGAACTCGGGAGGTCTCTAAGGGAAAGGGGGCTCCAATAATCACAGCAGATTTGCCCGAACATAGCAGACAGTTCCTACTGAAACCACCAAACTTGTTTTTCTGGAATGCACCCAAGAATTCCTGGCAAGGAATTGGTTATGTTTGTAATGTTGGGTTATCTGAAAGCAAATGACACTTCAAAAACTGTTCTGTTTATATACATGACAGTCACAGTCATGACAAACTGCTCTAAAAAAATCTTACTTGGGAAGTAAATCCTGTCCTCTTGAGTGAGGGCATTCTTAGAACGCAGAGATTACATAGGCGGTGTTTTGCGCATGCGTGTTTTGGACTAGTGGAAGTGAGCCTTGGGGGGAGGGACATAACGCATGTGTGACTGGAGCTATAACAGAGAACGGAATAAAGCAGGGGAGAAAGATCAGGTGTGAAACATATAAGAGCAGTGCAAGAGAAAAGAGCTCCAGGAGTACAAGTTATTGAAAGAGAAGTGCAAAGGTGCAATAAGAAGAGGATCAAACAAGAATACTTTTGTACTACTTCTTTCAACATGGAAAGACTTGATATTCCTGCGGTGAGTCCACTGCAAAATGTTTTCTCAAAGTTTTAGATGAATATTTTAAAAGTTCTATCACACATGAATGGATCACTAATGGGCGAGGAATGAGTGGAGCATTACAAATGCTAGTTTAAAACTTCTTTCAGCCAGACCATTGGTGTCTTACTTTTTCACTGCTGGCAGTATTTGAACATACAGTGAGGTGCTCGTGATTTAATGAGACTTCAGTTTTGGCACATCTTTAAGCTAAACCTAAATCACCCACTGTGCAATTCTCCAGATTTCAGAAGTTGTAATTGGAAAATATTAATATCATCTCAGCTGTCAATGCTGAAATCTGATTACTTCTGCTCAGATATATAGACAAATAATGTTGACAATGTTGACATGCTGATGTGAATCCCTCTTTTGACAGGACCCGTTTTATGATGCACTGAGTGATTCATAAAAGCAGAAAATGGTTAATCATATACAAACTGATCAATTTTGTTTAATATGCATGAGATTTTAATTACAGATTCAAAATATTAGCCAAATCTGTGTGCATACAATATACATATACATTTAACTCTGTGCTCAATGCTATATTATGTTTAATACCACCTTTATAAGGGAAATAAAATTGTGTTTTCCATTAACAGCTATTATTCTATTTTTCTTCTTATTATAAAAGATCTTTATATGCAAAACTCTCACACTATAAAGTGCTTTGGAATGAAACTCTTCATATGTTGTCTTGCTTGCTCTTTGAACCTAAGACTTTGTCTGAATTAACAGCTTTAAATTTGTTTTTTCACACTACACATGAAGCCAACGAGTCGTCCAGAGTTGTTTGATTTTGAAGGCATCTCTATGGTCCATTACTTCACTGACAACTGGGAGAACATTCAGAACTTCCAGGCAAGACCGGATGACATCCTCATCGCCACTTTTCCCAAAGCAGGTGTGTGGGTTTTGTTACAGGGATCATTTGACAAAAATTAGTAATATGAATGAAGACAGTCATACTGTATCTTATAGATTTGGTTCACAAAACCTTCAAGCTATTTTTGTCCACTTTAGCTTTAATGTCTTCAAAATAAGGTACATGCATTAATTTTAGCAAGCTTATCATACAAAAGGATGGACAGAAAAATATTAATTACATAAAGTGCCCTATAAGGAGTATGTCCACCCTCCAAACTGCTTTCTGTTATGTTGTGATATAAATCTCTGTGTAGTAGGATATTGGACTATTCTTCAAAAAGGAAATAGTCCAGCTCTTTGAAGGATTAAGAAGATGGAGCTCCACTCAAATCTAAGTGTTCCAGTGCTAATCACTCTTGTATTTGTGTTGTGCTGTGTAAGGGGTCACTATCTATATGACGGAACTATGTTGGCACCTGTTCCAGTAAAATGACCTCCTGTTCCTCAGAGAGCAGAGTAATCATCAGGGCTTTTGATTTCCACTAGATTGCTCTCCATAAAGTTAGAGATCTACCATCATGTGTCCCCATGGGTTCAGGTTTTGGTCACCTTACATACTTTTTCCTTCAAACCACAGTGCAACCACTTTGGGACATCTTACTTTTTTTTACTGTTATTCCGTGAATATTTACTTCTTTCTTTCTTTGCCATTTTTTTTCTTTTTTGTCCACTTGAAGCTGAACTACAATTTCCTTTTCAGCATTTCCTATCTTCTCTCCTTCTGAACACTTTCTACTTATTCATGTTGTGTTTGTCATTTTGTGAATCCCTGTATAAAGAAATGACGACAGCATTCATAGACCTATTTTTGCCTACTTAAGCTGACTCGTCATTATATTATTTCACACAGTATATTTTGGCTGAATCCCAGTACTTCAGTTTGACACACGTCATCTTCCTCTCTCTTTCGGTTCTCTGACAGGGACCACTTGGGTATCCTACATTTTGGACCTGCTCTACTTTGGCAATACAGCGCCTGAGCGCCAGACCTCGCTGCCCATCTTCTTGCGAGTACCTTTCCTTGAGGGGACATTTCCTGGGCTGCCTTCAGGTCAGTGGAGTTACCATAAGCCTAGTCCTCATATTCAGATATAAGATCAGTGAAAACACTGGCACAGTCCAGTCGTGATGCATAACTCGTGGCTTGTCTTTGTGGATAGGCTAAACAATGGCCCTGACACATTGAGAAATTTTAAGAGGTTTTCATTCTTTACCAGGGGTGGAGCTGACAGACAAGTTGCCCACCACTCCACGCCTCATCAAAACCCATCTTCCCGTTCAGCTGGTGCCCAAATCCTTCTGGGAACAGAACTGCAGGGTACAGTATGTGGGACTTCTTCTCTGTATGCTCTTCAATGCTATTCCCAATGTGAACATCAATGAAGTTATATGTTTTTGAACTTGGAGAGGACGAAATTCTCAGTCCTCAGCATCATGGAAATGTATGTGCTCTGTCTGTACGGTGCAGTCAAATTAAATGATGATGGAGAATGAAGTTTTCACCTACTGCAATATAATACTTGTGTAAAAGATGTAATAATGTCTACAACAAGAGCTTATTTTACAATCTAGAAACAAGTTGTACTTGCAAGAAAAAGTGGAGAAGAATTTTCATAAAGTGATAATGAATATTCCCTCCATTAGGTGTGTATTCATGACATTTCGAACTTGTAACTCAGGCCTTTGTGTGCTCTGAGCCTGCTATAGTCTAGATCAGGTGTCGGCAACATGCAGCTCTTTTACTGCCCTGTTGTGGCTCCACAGCAGAATTAGGTAAAAATAAAATAATCCTCCTTTGCAGTAAAATAAAGCTCTACCTATCAATCTAACACAGCTTTATCACTAAATGGTCTTAAACGTTGGAGTTAATGTATTAACTGCCAATTCACCCTTCAAATTTGAACAAGTAGCTAGCGAATGAGAAGATGATCAGCCTTATAAAAATCAAATGTTGAGAGACATTTTCAAGAAATTATTCCACTTTTGGAAAAGTTTCCTGCCAGGCATGCGAGAAAATCAGCTATATCTGAGCTAAAGCTTAAAGCAGAGCAAAGCAAGTCTGCGTTTTTGCTTATATTTTTTAACCTATACTAGTACATTAGCACACACTGAGACATATTTACAGCCAAGATGGTAAAATGGACACTAAAATGTTGTGGCTCCCAAAGTGGTTTTTTTGCTGAAAAAACAAAATGGCTCTTCTGAACATTTGGGTTGCCGAACCCTGACCTAGATCATAAGTTGCCCTTCAGGTATCAAAAAGGGGTGCTTTCCCGCATCTTTACCTTAATCATTACAGAGGACAAACCCGGACAAAGATACACAAGCTACAGGCTCAACAAAACCTGTAACACAATGAAAAAAAAAATGCAACATGAAGGGGCACACAAAAAGGACACAAAATTATAGCGGATATTCAGCTCTGTATATGCTGTTCTGTGATAGTGATTGTCTCTATTTTCTCTCTCTCTAGGTTGTCTATGTAGCTCGCAATGCCAAAGACAACGCTGTATCTTATTATCACTTTGACCGGATGAACGTGGGAGAGCCTGAGCCAGGAGACTGGAATACTTTTCTAAAGAGGTTTATGGATGGAAAGAGTGAGTGAGACTGCATTCAGTGTGATATACCGACCAGTGCCAGAATGATAAATGATATCATTATTAATGCTATTACAAAACTTTAATGAAAGTCATGGAATATATTTCACTTTACCATTTAGTGGTGTTTGGTCCTTGGTATGATCATGTGTGTGGATACTGGGAGAAGAAGCAGACGTACTCAAACATTCACTACATGTTCTTTGAGGATATGGTGGAGGTAAGTAACAAGCTTAACTGTTACAGACAATAAGGTGATCTGCAGATGAGTTTTCCCATGTGCAACCATGTTTTAGCTTGATGTTGATTACTGTAGGTCTAGAATTTGGGCTCTGAACATTTCTCTCTTACTTGTCTAGGACACTGGGCGTGAAGTAGAGCGCTTGTGCTCCTTCCTTGGTTTATCGACACCAATAGAAGAGAGGGAGAGAATTACGAAAGGCACTCACTTTGATGCCATGAAGCAGAACAATATGACCAACTACTCTTCAATCCCAGTCATGGACTTTAAGATCTCACCGTTCATGCGAAAAGGTTAATACTCTATGACTCTACTATGACTTTTTGACAAAAATCTTTAGCACACAGACAGTATACAGATAGTACACAGGCCATTACTTCTGGTATCAGAGAGCCAGGGTCCAGCACAGTTTAATGTTTCCCTGCTCTACACATATTATTCAAGTCATTAGCTAATTCGCAGGTTTAGCTGGAACGTTATAGCAGGAAAATGACCGTGATGTGCTCGACTTTGGCCTGCCAGAACTGGAACTGATAACGTCCGCTCTAGACATTCTAAACACAAATGATTAAAGAAAAACTGTATCGTTCGTGTTTAGAATGTGTAGAGAGGGTTATCAATTCTAGTTCTGGCAGGCCAAAGTCTAGCACATTATGGTCATCTTCCTGCTATAACGTACCAACTAAACCTGCAAATTAACTAATGAGTTATTGCATCACAGATGTTTGACTCCTCTACAAATACAGACATTACAATTGGGAGTACAACCTTAGATGCTTGATGGGGCTGTGTTCATGCTCCAGTCACTGATGACAATGAAACTGAATTTCAAAACCGCAGAGACATACAAACAACTATCCCAATTCAAAAGACTGTGATAAATTGACCCACAGTTCAGGTCAGAAAAGAGATTAAAGTAACTATAAAGTTCCAATTCCCTTCAACTAGTATTTCTCTCTATATTTCTTTCTACAGGGAAGGTTGGGGATTGGAAGAACCACTTCACTGTGGCTCAGAATGAGCAGTTTGATGAACACTACAAACAGAAGATGAAGACCACCACCCTCCGATTCCGACAAGAGATTTGAGATTAATGAAATCCCTGTATTGTAATATAGACCTAGTTTACTGAAGAAAACTTTTGTGTTTATGCATCGTCTTTTGCAGCACATACTGTAAGACAAAATGAGGAGATACTTTGAAGATACTTAATCCAATAAAAGGTAATTGTTTAGTACGTCTGTGTATGGAAACGCTTCTTTTCGTTTCCTAGAGCTTATATTTTCAGTGGCCTAACAGAGAAGCAGCCTGTGTGTCAGTATCACAATGTCTACAGTGTACATTGTCAGGCACAATACTAATTGGTGATTCAATTAGTTGGCCAATTGGTGAAGCTTCCATTATTTGTTAGCTACATTTATTAGTAGTTACAGGCTTTAATTGTTTGTTAGCTTCTATTATTTGTTAGTCTTTATTTGTTTGTTAACACCGAACCAGTCTTTACTGATCTACATTTGGGGTAAGGGGAAGATCTGAATTTTTCTTCCTCCTCTTTTTAACCCTTAATAGCTAATAGCTCAGGTAAAACATAGTATATTATGGGTCATGGTGAAGCTGTGTGTCTATACCTCCCCTAAAAAAAAAAAATAATAAAACAACCACAAGATTAAGCAATAAACCAACAAATCGTATAGAGACTGATAAAGGTATGGGAATGCTATAATTTAAACAAAGTGATATGGAATACAAGCAAAATTTTCTAAAAAGACGTTTATGGATTATTTTATTTAGTTAATTTCCCACTCTCAATGTCTGATAGGCCAAAGTCTGCAAATCTGTGAGATCATAGACATGCCAAAGTTTCCCCAGCCCTGAGCTACAGCTGTGCTGCCTCAATCGGCTGTGCTACACCTTTAAAAACATGCCAGTCCTGGAAACAGTTGCGTTCTGCAGTAAGGCACAAAGCAACACTGCAACCTTTACACCTCATATTTGTTTCACACAGCTTGCACTGCACACACAGTGATTTCATGCTAGCATTCAAGAAGACAGGCATGCAAGCCTGAGGTGCTCGAGGAGGAGGTGGCACTTTGTCCTTTACCTTAGCAGCATCACTTTTCTCTTGCTGACTGGTTTGCTTCTCCGTTTGCTCAGTTGCCTGCTCCACTCTAAAGGAGAACTTGCCATAACTCATAAGCTGAAGGATGAGACCCTCAATGAAGTCATTCTTGTTCAAGGATTTTCCCTTTCTGGGAAGTTTCATCTCCTGGTTCAGCAGAAAGCTGTTGTTACATGCAACGTCCAAGGCATAGTAGAAGAAAGCCTTGTCCCATGTCATGCCTTTCTGCAGTTCCCAGTGGTAGCTACATATGCTGTCAAACAGATCCAGCGTCCTGGCATACTTGTTGTAGTCTCTGATAACTGAGGGAGTCAGGCTAGGTTTAGATTCATGCTCCTGGTCAGCACTGTCCTCATCTGACTGAACTTTGTGCATTGTACTACACAGCGCCACTTCCTCTGTGTTCATCCATTTCAGAAACAGGAGGTCCTCCTGTCGAATCCAGCAAACAGACCCTCTCTTCGCATCTTCTGGTAAATCATTCATTCGTGTGCAAGGGAAGCCCTTAGCATCAAGACGCACAGGTCCGCACATGCTAGAATGACATGAACTCTTAAACCGCTTAAACATATCAGGTGGCGTATACACATTTTTCACATGGACATGGTAGCCACTTCCGAGCAAAACAGGATCTGTTAATTGTCTTATGAATTCGAAGTCAAGCATCTCTCCTGAAGAAGAATCAGTAGCTCCTTTATATACAGATATATTCCATATGTAGCCTGTAGAGGAATCACCCATTGCCAGAACTTTGATTCCTACCTTAGGATCACTTCTTTCCAATGTTTTTGCCAGAGATCCAACGTCTCTAAAAGCACGCTCACTGATAGTAAGGTTCCTGTTGGGATGAAAGTGGGTTTTACAAGCTGCAGCAACATCAACCAGCAGTGGCCTAATTTCATAGAGGGGATCATGTCCTCTTTTACCCATTCTGCTTTTATTGGTCTTGGCCTTTTTAGGGTCTGAAATGTGCAGGCGCTGCTGTATTGCCTCAAAACGAATCTTTGTCATCACGTCTGAAGGAAGCTTGAACCTGTACAGCTGGTGTTTGCTCCAGTAATCTGAAATGGTTGGGGCCTTCACATACCACATATAGAGCAGAAGCCCAACAAACCTGTAAAATTCTCTCACATTCAAAGGCTTGTCAAATCGCTGCCCTCTGCTTAGATTGTCTTTTTGATTGGTGTTCTCCACAATGTTTTTCACAAGACTGAGACTGAAGAACACTTTGAAAAGCTCAAGAGGTGTGTAAGTCTTGGTTTGCAAGTACACACCTGGGGTTCTCTGTGGTCTGAAATCTAACTTTGCAGGCCCCTTGTCTTCCTCATAGAAAGGTCTCCATGCTGTGGTCTTCAATTCAGATGTTCTGTCCAAGACCCCAGTTGTTTCTGAGGTGCCAGCAGTGGAGTCAAATAGCCTTCCTTCTGATTCAATGGCGTCATGCTGCCCTCTGTGTGCACAAAGCATACATATGACCAAACTGACACACAATACATACTTGCACCACTTACATGAAAGAATGTGCAATGAACATTCTAACAGTATGTAACAGTACAAACAATAAACAAGGGATTGTATGGTGAACTGTAGAAACTTCTTTAAATATGGTTGTCTTACTACATTTATTACATTGAGACAGACAAATATCGAAAATCTCTGTAATGCAACTGCAATTTGACTTTGAATGAGCTATGGGGAAACAATCACTTCAAGAGAAAAAGAAGTGAAACTATCTGGACAGACATATGAGCTTTAACTGGTGTGTTTTAGCATTGATTTCAAAATTCTTTATTGGTTTTTAAGTGCCATCTTCACTGCTCTACCTCAATGAAATGATTGTCAGATATGTGTCTCCGACACTTCTGTCATCTGGTAGCAATATGCTGGAATGGATGATTGTCTGTTGATGGATGATTGTCTGTCGAGCTCTCCTGCTACCTGCTTCAGACCAGTTGCCCACGCCCCAGTCACCGCCACTTGCCTTGGACTAGCTGCCCACCCTACACTGAAGTTTTCATGGACTCCTAACTATTACTACTACTTCTACTATTAATATTAGTAGTATAATAATTTTGTAGGTAGTTTGACCAGAGGAGGATGGGTCCCCCCATTGTGAGCTTTGGTTCCTCCCAAGGTTTCTTCCCCAGCTCTGAGGGAGTTTTTCCTTGCCACTGTCGCCCCTGGCTTGCTCACCTGGAGGATTTACATTTCATGTTAAAACTTTGTCCTTAATGGATTTCTGTGAAGCTGCTTTGTGACAACGTCAGTTGTAAAAAGCGCTATACAAATAAATTTGACTTGACTTGACTGGAAGTCCCTAAAAAGCACAGATGAGGAGTGGAGAGGCTGCATTTAGTCATTATGGTCTAAAGCCCTTTAATTCACTTACTGAGGAGCTGAGAACCACTAAATCACTTAATACCTTCAAAAGGAAGGTGATTAAGGGTGCTATGATAAATAAACATTATTATTGTTATTATTATTATTTAATACTGTCATAAGTTTTTTTAAAATGAGTGAATGTTACACGTTCAAATGCTTCATACACTTAAACTGTGATGTACATGAAAACTTCTCAACTTACAACTGAACTTAAAAAGGAACTCCACCAATTTGTCAAGACTTCTGCATATTTACAGGGTTAACATGTCAACAAAATCACTCAGGGCAGTTTGGTGTGAAATGCTTTGTTCTAGAGAAACACTGAATTGTTCACAGTGGTGGTGACAGGAACCAGATGCCTGAGGAGTTAACAACTCTAAAAGCTCCCTCCCCGAAAGCTATTACATGAAATGGTTACGAATATACTGCCAAAAGTCTGAGACATAGTTTTACAGTAGTTTTGTTAAAGAGTTTTGGTCAAAAACATACCTTAATCAGCTTATTTTAACTTTACTTACTGTTATATTTATTACAGTTAGGTTAGTTAAGTTCTATACTACAGGCACAGAATATTAAAAATAATATAGCTGTGAATTTTGTGACTCAAACAACACTTGCACTTAACCCCTCTTCTCACCTGTTGTACAGAGGTTGAGTAATAAATCTGATAACTACACTCGGCTGCTCCAAACTCTGCTCTCTCCATTCTTCCATCACAGCTCCACCGTCCACGGTCACCCCACCGTTACCTGTTACCGTGTTCAGCTCGACAGTACTACAGTAAAACTTCGTGTCCTCGGTCTGTGAGGAAAAGGGGTTCACAGCCTCCTCAGCTGCGCTACGTGATACATAACTGTCATTTAGGCACTGAAACTGGTCATGGTTATCGGACAGCTTTCTTCTTTTGGTCGGACTGTGCAGCTCTTTGTTTTCCCCTTTTCCGTGCTCTGGAGATGGTCGTTTATCAGCGAAACGCAGAGAGCTGTCGAGCCACATCTGCTCGCTCGTCCATTCTCGGGACATTTTTGTAAAAGGTGTGACAGGGAAACAGTCCCAGCTTTGGGTTCAGGCCTCTCCAGCTGTGCGTATGTCATTTCACGCCACAATATCTCGATTCCATTTTCTCTTATAAAGAGGTACTTTAATTAACATCGCCTGATTCGCGGCGAAGGAAACACAGAGTAGCGATCAGGTAAACATTTCAGCGGGTTTTTTTCATTCACACAACGGCTCCGGATTGGCTGCGACTTTGGGCTGTACCACTCGGTGTGAAGTAGCAGGGGGGTTTTGTTTTGCAAACGTTGCCAGGGACTCACGCTCACTCTTAGTAGACCCCTCTAGTGGTCGATGTTATATCGTCGTTTATTTTTCTAGTCAGGAGAACTACGACGGCGTTTTAGGGCCCCTGTTAATAAAAACAAAAACAGTAGACTTCGAGAATAAAGTCGTAATATTTCGAGAATAAAGTCGTAACATTTCCAGAATAAAGTCGTAATATTTCGAGAAAAAAGTCGTAATATCTCGAGAAAAAAGTCGTAATATTTCCAGAATAAAGTCGTAATATCTCGAGAATAAAGTCGTAACATTTCGAGAAAAAAGTCGTAATATTTGGAGGATAAAAGTAAATGGCTACTACTAAAAGTAGTAGTGGGTTCAGGGTTACAACAAACGATTTTAGACAGCAAACTCAACCTGGACATTTTTCCTTGTATGCTTTTGTCCTTTCTAAATTGAGGCTCGCATATCGGATTTTCAGCTCCTTACAGTAAACTCACATACAGTGCCAGTTCGTGCCATGCTTAAACATGTTTGAGTTAGGAAACAAAATTTCATACCAAGTGGCTTTTATTTTAACAGACAATTACAAAGTCTTTCAAAGACAGATCGAGTGTTATCCTTTCCGCCTCTGTGTTTTACATTACCCTTAGTGCAGCCTGGTTGGAATTCTTCTTCAGGCTTTCTCCACACAAAGAGTTAGTCAGAGATGTGCTAAAAGTATTTTTCTCTGAAATATTAATTTGCAAAACATTTTATGGAGTAACTTAAAGAACTTCTAGGTGTTGTAGCTATAGCGTTAACTCTCTGGATCTTCAGACTAATGATAAAGATCAGTATGGGTGGAGAGGTTCCTCCAGTGGAGCTGTGGAAGAAAACAGTGAAGGAGAAGGGGCTCCAGAATATGGGAGGCAAATCCAGCCAAAAAAGAAATTAAAATTAAAACCATAAAATGAAAATGCAAACCTCTTTTTGCCATTTCTTTTTCCAAACATCTGCGCAAATATCCTGCCAAATTTGAAAATGAAATGAAATGCCTACATTTGCAATTTCATTTTTCACATGAGCACGAGCCATTTGTGACAAAAATAAAAATAAATGTAAAACAGCTATTTGTCATTTCATTTTAGTCGTTATTCTGGGTTTTTCATGGCCAAATCTAAAATGAAAAAGCTAATAGAAAAAAGAAAATCTAAACTTCACTTTGGCTTTTCTCCATGAAGTGCAGAATACGTGTCAAAACTAAAATCAAAATGCAATGTTTACATTGTTATTTCTTTTTCGCAGCAATCGGCTGCAGATCTGACAAAATGAAAATGAAAAGACAAAGTGACGGTTTGTGATTCAGTTTTCGGCGCGGACGCGCTTTAAGTGTCAGAATGAAAAGGCAAATGCAAACGAACATCAGCGCCACCTGCTGGGCATTTACTGTACATTTTCGACTTTTCGATTTTGTTTTCAAATTGACCAACATGCAAATATATGTTAATTAGCACTGGGCGGGGCTACGGGGTACATTTTAGGACATCCTTAGACCTCCGAGTCAGAGCGGCAACATTCCTCAAGCTAAACGACTTTGAGTCTCGAGAAAATCCATCGTGATGACTCAGATCTGGTGAAACTGAACGTCAGCACAAACACCGTCAGACCAAACGGCCTCAGAGAAAAGGTATCAGATCAAACGCAGGCCTGGTCGAGCACACAGTGGTTCATTTAACTTAGAAAACTATTATGTATCTCGATATAAATGCCAGTATAACATTTCCAGTTTTTTCTGACGGTGTTTGTGCTGACGTTCAGTTTCACCAGATCTGAGTCATCACGATGGATTTTCTCGAGACTCAAAGTCGTTTAGCTTGAGGAATGATGCCGCTCTGACTCGGAGGTCTAAGGATGTCCTAAAATGTACCCCGTAGCCCCGCCCAGTGCTAATTAACATATATTTGCATGTTGGTCAATTTGAAAACAAAATCGAAAAGTCGAAAATGTACAGTAAATGCCCAGCAGGTGGCGCTGATGTTCGTTTGCATTTGCCTTTTCATTCTGACACTTAAAGCGCGTCCGCGCCGAAAACTGAATCACAAACCGTCACTTTGCCTTTTCATTTTCATTTTGTCAGATCTGCAGCCGATTGCTGCGAAAAAGAAATAACAATGTAAACATTGCATTTTGATTTTAGTTTTGACACGTATTCTGCACTTCATGAAGAAAAGCCAAAGCCAAAGTGAAGCTTGGATTTTCTTTTCTCTATTAGCTTTTTCATTTTAGATTTGGCCATGAAAAACCAGAATAACGACTAAAATGAAATGACAAATAGCTGTTTTACATTTATTTTTATTTTTGTCACAAATGGCTCGTGCTCATGTGAAAAATGAAATTGCAAATGTAGGCATTTCATTTCATTTTCAAATTTGGCAGGATATTTGCGCAGATGTTTGGAAAAAGAAATGGCAAAAAGAGGTTTGCATTTTCATTTTATGGTTTTAATTTTAATTTCTTTTTTGGCTGGATTTGCCTCCCATACCAGAATGGCCGGTAACCAAATCTAGCAAAGAAGTAGGAGGCCTGAAAGACCCAGGGAACCTAAATATGTGTTTTCTTTCTAATTAGGTTAATCTTGTTCTTGCAAACAGTACACATGTACTAATCACATCCTTTGAATAATGTTCCAGCGACTAATAAATGACCAGTATATTTCAAGATTTTTCTCTCCTCTCAACATAAACTGAACAGTCCTAATCATGGGTAACGCTTCCGTAAGCATTCCCCTGACCAATCACAAGGCTGACGTCTCTTGCCCCACCCACACAAAACAGTTTCAGAGTCAGAGAAACTTAGCGAGCTAAACTTAGCGTTTCTTCATTCACGCTTTGCTTCGTCCGTCTGTCCGTCCATCTGCACATCTGTTCATCTGTGACATGTTTCATCTAGTTATCATCACATAAAAGCTGGATAATGATTTTAGTTCTGTTTGAGTGGCTGAGAGGGCTAGAAGTTTTGAACACAGCTGTCAATCAAGCTGCTCATTAGTCACGCCCACACAGTTCTAAGATGGTTCTGATCAGCAGTTTTTAAGCCATGTTTTTTTCATTCAAGCTTTGCCACTTACCTCGTAGCAGGAACCTTTGTAGCAGATAACTGTGAATGTTTGACATAGAGTTTAGTATCATACAAACATTTTTAATATTTTACTCTGTGTTCGATGTGTTCCTTCTTAATTTTACGCTGAAGCTATGAGGCTAATGTAGCTAATAATTAATAGATGCCTGGCGGTCAGTACTGTTCCAACTGCAAATGCCTACTTCAGCAGAAAATGCTACCAGTATTAAAACTACGGCTCAGATGTGTTGATAGCCAATCACCCAGTCATGGTCTTTAGGACCATCGGGACCCCAGTCTACCCTTATGATGGCCTGAATCCATAATCTTTTGAGGTGTTTGGCAAAGGGATGTGATCCCTTCAAGATATTAAACATTCTCCAACCATCTTTTCTGTGGGTTTTTGTCATTGCAGCTTCATGCCATAAAGAGTGCTGCAATTTCTGTTGCTTTCCAGCCCCAAGTTGCGCGTGCGTCTCTGCAGTGACGCTGCACAGAATCCTGTTTAAGCTTGCAGTGAGCTTTGACCTCTGCAGAAATGATGCCAAAATCATTACACAATTACAACTATGGTTTAGAAATACTGCCACTGCCACTCTGACCCAGTGGTGTAAGCAAAAATAATAGCGAGAGGTTGGTTGGGAAGGTGGCAAGAAAGTATACAAGAAGTCAGCAAACAATCTGTGACTAGCAGGAGCAACGATAGAAGGGACTGTTGCGCACTTTTCAAGAGTAAGACCGCTTAAGTACTTGACAACTCATGTAGTGGAGCATGCACAGTATTAGCATGCCTGCATTAAAGTTATGTATGTAAGACTTTAAGAAGTATTAAATATCTGCTAATATCTTATACTTGCTTATGCTCAACACTGTGACTTTATGGGGGTTCTGTTAATGTATGAACCTTTTGTTAGCAATTAAATATCCAGCTCAGTGAAAGAAACAAACTTTGTTGTTGACTTTTGGATTTGCTGGTCACAGGTCAGAACATGTTCCTGTAAGGACGCTTTACAGAGCACTGAGAAGTTTGGGATATTTGATTTAAGTTTGTTGATATAAAGTAGCAGTACAGGCTTGGGAAGATGAAAGGGCAGCTGTCGTACTTTAAATAAATAGCCTTGTTCCAGCGATTTCTGTTTATACAGATGGATCTGCCTCGTCCAGAGCTCTTTGACTTCCATGGTGTCTCAATGACGCATTACTTTACGGACAACTGGGAAAATGTCCAGAACTTCAAAGCCAGACCAGACGACATCGTCATTGCCACTTACCCCAAAGCAGGTACCTGAATATGTGTCTCTACTTCTCTACAAAGCTAAAGAAAAGGAAGATGAACTAGACAGGTGTGTTTGCTCTATATAATACGTATATAAAGTGGTAACTTGTTGATCTACAAAAGGATTCCTATCAGTCTTATTTAGCTTTTTAATTATCTCTCTTTCTCTCTCTCTCTCTCTCTCTCTCTCTCTCTCTCTCTCTCTCTCTCAGGCACCACCTGGGTCTCTTACATTCTTGACCTGCTGTATTTTCGCCAGACATTACCTGAGCGTGAGACCACTGTCCCGATCTATGACAGAGTGCCTTTTTTGGAGTTTTTCATGCCATCCTTTTCAGGTCTGAACAAAAACCTTACATTATTTTCCATACTAGAGGTGGACTACTCATGAACGTTTTTGGCTGATTTTGATTTTATATTATTTTTTTTTAAATACCTGAAGCTCATACTATGGGGGCTAAATGAACACCTGAAAGTCAATAGTGCATTTCCAGTACAGTCGAGTCAAAATTGCAGTAGAAATAATACTATTTGCTCTTTTAAGTGTGTCATTAATTGGTTTACCTCAGGAACAGACATGGCGGATATGCTGACTACTTCCCCTCGCATCATCAAAACTCATTTGCCTGTTCAGTTCATTCCCAAATCCTTCTGGGAGCAGAACTGCAAGGTACAGTATGAACACCTGCCTTGTACTTCCACTCATTGTCCACTTTATGAGCTACATCTACATTATAGGTCCACAACATAGGTGTGCAGTTACAGACTAATCAATTTGTTGTCAGTCACCCTTTACTCATTCATCATCGGTCAGTTTCAGACTACAGGACCACCATTGAGCTGGTATTATTTTCAACACTGTAGTGACACGAGTGCATCAGACACTCAGTGGCGCTGTAGGGGGTTTTTACATGTCAGTGTCACTGCTAGGTTGAGAATGATCCGTCACCTAAACATATCTAGCTAAGAGCAAGTTTGTGATCTGTGGGCACTGTATTCCAGATTTCATGTACATTGTCTCTCTCTTTTCTATGTCCAGATTGTCTATTGCGCTCGCAATGCCAAAGACAATGTTGTGTCCTATTTCCACTTTGACCGCATGGACAGTGGACAACCTGAGCCAGGAGACTGGAGCAGTTTTCTACAGAGATTCAAAGACGGAAGGAGTGAGTGAACGAGTGAGTGAAGGGGTGAATGAGTGTGACTAATGATGTACTATAGTAACAAATTAATTTTCTCAACTTAATTTCACATGGATATTTAGGAGAGCTATATGTAAACATGTCAGCCTAGTTGTCATAAAACCCAATATTAAGCAAAGCAATACATCATCACTGGCAGGACAAAAGAAATATAATGGTCTAAAATGACTTATTCCAACCTCCATTCAAGGTTAAGAATTTAAAAATTCATAAAAAATTAAGAAATTTGGGATAACATTTCCTTCAACTGGAAAGTTACCATTTTGGTAATACAAGATTTTGTCCCAGTAGTGGCAATATATGATATATCTTTTCAATTTTAGTTACGTTATTGACCTTGCTAACAAGAAAATGGCATCAGATAGACAAGTTCTGCTCCTAAAGTCACTTATGTTAGTTATTGGGCCTCCAAGGGCTCTCTGATTTGTTAGTTGCCTGCCATGTTACACAAGAACAATGGTCTGTGGCTGGTTATTGCACATGTCAAATGGCCCTTTCCTACCAGCTGATTCTTGGCCACATTAAAGATAAACGTAGTGTCAAATCTATTAGCTGTAATGACAGTCTTTAGTTGAAATATTGTTCTAAAAACTGCTTAAACTGCTAAAATTTTACATGCATTCTAAAATACATTCAGTTATTGGTAAATTTGACTACGTCTGCATTCTTGTTAAAATTTCTGCTGTAAAGCATTTTCTCTTAGCTGACATTATACACTCCTTTTGTTCAGCCCAGAGTTTAGTGGAGCAATCCTGTGATTGCTGAATTCCTAGTCTATAAATTGTTGCAGGCTCTCTTAAACCAGTTTACACTTTACATTCTATGCAACCAAACTGCATTCAGCAGGTAGCTAATAGGCTAACAGGCTGGTTCAATAATGTTGAGAAACAGGCTTCAAATTCAGACCTCTCCAGAAAAGTCTTGGCCACAAGTGTGTTTATGCAATGCTAACAACACTAGAAATTTCCATAGGGATGCTAGAGGAAATTAGCATTATGCTAGCGGCTAATCAGACAATGAAAGGCTGCCTATAAAGCAAATTATAAAGTCTGCTCATCCCTGTCTATGCTGTTCTCCTTTGTAGTACCTTAAAAACCCCATTACCGTCTACTAACATCCTCTGTGTTGTGCGGACATTGGTGTTTGGCTCCTGGTATGACCATGTGTGTGGCTGGTGGGATAAGAAACAGATGTACTCTAAAATACACTACATGTTCTTCGAGGATCTGGTGGAGGTGAGATCCCCTGTTCCATTGTGAGGTGTCAGGTGAGAAATTTAGATAGCAGATACAGAGACAAATTGATTTAAGAACTAAACAGTGACCCAGCCAATCAATTTGTTACAGTAAGAAATGAAATATTCTGAACTGTTTCTGCTTGTCTGTGAAGAGTGGAATTGAAAATGTTCATATATTAGCTCTTTAGTGGGTAGTGCTGCAACCTCACAGGAAGGGTTCGATTCCCTGGCCAGGCGACCAGGGTCCTTTCTGTGAGGCATTTGCATGTTCTCCCTGTGTCTGCGTGGGTTTTTTTTTCCACAATGTGCTTCTAGCTACAAGGTTAATGTTGCTAACTAACTAGAGACCCGAATTAACCCACTCAAACCGCAAAATTCATTAAGGTTGCCCAGACTTGTCGATGTGGTTTGGGAACTAGAAAGAAAACTTAACATTTTTGTTTAAAAATGTCATTTTTGGTAAATTTTCAACACAGTGATATGTGGGGGCCTACTCTTATATGTGTTGTTTATCAGTGAACATGAAATAACAGGAGAATATTGGTGCGAGTTTGCATCCGGAAGGTCAGTTGTTTCTAGAGGCAAAGGGCAAAAAAATGTATGAAGCTGCCCTTTTCGCACTGTTATTGCAAGGCTTGTATTAATGTTGTTAACTGTCTGAAAACATTTTTTATATCTTTTTATTGTTAGGTCAATAATTTTTTCACTGATTTTTATGACAAAGTGTCATCACAGGCCGACTACGGACCACTAGCCCCCCTGAGTATAGATCAAGGGGTGCTTTGCAATCCACTTGAGGTCCTCGGCTTTAGTGATTGAGAAGCCCTGGTTTAGGACACAGTGGGTCAGTTGCCTAAAAAGGATTTATGCTGTGTTCACATGTTTGTGGTAGACAGACGACGGCAAACCGGATATTCCATTGTTTTCAAAAGAGCCGCAATGGAAAATTCTGCCACTGCAAGCGACAACATTCCGCAGACCGCAGCAGTGAGCGGAACACTCCGTCAAGAGTTCAGCTGTCCTAACTTTTGTCATCATGCCAATGTCATGCAGCTATCGGCCGCATACCACTATGAGTAATTTTATAGTTCAAAGTAAGTCATACGCTCTCGGTTTGCTGGACAGGGATTAAACCTAGTCCTGGACTACAAAGCATTTTGAATAAAAAAGTAGTTCAGAACTAGGCTTGATCTCAAAAAACCAAATTGACCTACTGTGGACTATAAGACTAGCTGAGCCATTTTGAACTGGTGCCAAATTAGGACTCCCCTTCATGTGTACATATGGACACTACAGATTACATCTGTTCCTGCAATGGGGAATTAGATTCTGTGGGGGAGTCGGATTTCCGACAGGAGGTTTTGTTTAGTTTATAGTTTACAGTAAGTCATACTATGTCCTAAACCTGTGCAACCTTAATGTAGATCTGGATGGATGTTGAGAGAAGGTTTTGGGGATGCATTTACAAAAAAATCTGGGTGCAATTCTAGTGTTTGTTAGCAACTTTAGCCTCAAAGATTCAGCACTAAAGAAGAAAAGTTTGGACCCCAAATGGCTCAGCTGATTGATTACAACCAGGGTAAGTTGAAAATTGTTTAAATTTGATTCCTTTAAGACAGGCATGTCAAACTGGCTACACTTCCAGGCCAAGGTGCTGCGATGTTAGCGTTTACCCTCATCTAACGCTCTGAATTCACTTCATGAAGGCCTTGCTAATTAGCTAATGAGCTGAATCAGGTGTGTTTAAAGAGGCAGTGTACTGAAGTCTGCAGTGTTTTGGCCAGCGAGGACAGGAGCTTGACACGTATGCTTTAAGACAACATATTGTCTTTAATTTAGGACAAAAGAGTAAACTGGGAACCCAATTAGGAGCTAGAAACAAAGCATTTTTGGTTCATATTTTGAAGCATGACAGGTCTAACAAGCAAGCAATCCATCAAATGCTTAAAACTGTTCTGTAGTCCATTATGAATAGAAATGTGGTTGTAAACATTCATTAGCAGCATTGCTTTGTTGGTCCTTTAGGACACTGGACGAGAGATTAAGTGCCTTTCATCATTCCTTGGTTTGTCCACGTCAGAAGAAGAGAAGGAAAAAATCAGAAGAGACGTTCAGTTTGACGTTATGAAGGCAAACCGTGTGACTAATCTCACTAACGAGACATCACTAGACTTCAGTGTCTCTCAGTTCTTGAGGAAAGGTATGTTGAGACAGCTAGCTGTTTAGACTCAGAAAAAAGAGCTATGAAGTGATCAGTGCTTTTGACTTGTCTCTGTCTTTTCTCCATCTACTATGTATCGACACTTTCCAGGGAAAGTCGGGGACTGGAAGAATCACTTCACTGTTGCTCAGAATGAACAGTTTGACCAACACTATAAGCAGAAAATGAAGAACACCACCCTCCATTTCCGGACAGAGGTGTAAGGCTGAGATGGCACTGATCCGATACAGGATATCTATGTGTGGCCAATATCAACAGAAAATGCAGAATCAGAGGGTAAAAAAGAATAATTCAGGTCCCATCCTGTAACAAATCTAGCCTGAAATAGTACACACTCCCATTGTGTGATGTGTTGTTGCTGGCTGTGTGTTTCTTCTGGTGGGGCAGTAGAGTGTTTGGAACAGTTTGAGCATGATAGGCTACTTAAAGCTTCATCTTAAAGCTACACTATGAAAGTTTTGGTGATTTGGAGTTGAGGAAATGTTTAATTGCATACGACGTGCAGAAGAACATTTTGTAACATAGGCTATGCTTTGGACCTCTTCCCTGAGCAGAAGAATCTAATGATTGCGAGCACATTGAAAGAGTATTCAAAGACAACTCGGGTAAAACGTGGTGCAGGATGTTTGTTCCGAGGATGTAAGTAAATGATCTAAGAGACCTAAACATCGAGGCTGACCTTCTTGTTTAAGCCTTGATGTTAATACAGTAAGCAGTAGAGCATCGTCCGAAAAACTCCCTTGAAATCCAACCTGACACCTCTCACTTTTAAATAACTATTCTATTTTTCAGGTGGCTTGAACAGTCACCATAACTTAGTGTGTCTTTTTCTCCTGACTCAGTAGTGCTACTTCTTTTAATTTTACCAAACAAATCTAACATAGTGCAGCTTTAAGAGAAGTGTGTCAATTAAAAATGGGTGTTGTGCCATCTCTTATTTAAGGCAGGAGGAAATTGTCATATTGTTATATTGTTTGTTGGGTATTCAACTCCAGGCCTGGAGTCCAGCACTGTGTCCGGCACAGTTTGGCTCAGGCACACCCACTAAACCTGGAAATGAACAGATGAGTCGAGTCAGCTGTGTTTGACCAGGGAAGCCTGCTCTTCAGGTCTGGAGTTGAATACCCCTGTTGTACATTATATGTTGACCCATATTGTTGACCCAATTCATTGAAGCACACCTTTTTGACTCTATACTGTAAGGAAAATGAGTAAATTACTTTCAAGATTAAAATAAAATCACTCAATATTGAAACAAAATTGTTTTTAAGATTTCAAGACAATTGTTTAGTATAACTGTGCATGCAGCGTTTTTGATTCCAAAAGGAAACATAAATTCAAATAACCGTTGACACATTGCAAAAACAGGTTGCTCACCAGCAGTGACTTTTTGAGGTCTAGTAAGTTAAAGACCGCAGCTCTGTGCTGTAACTCCATTATTTTTATACTTGGGGTCAATGGGTAGGCATCTAAATGAATGTTAAAGCCATAGAGTGGAAAACTGTATTTGCATTGACATAGCTAAATAAGGAGCGTTCAGTACATGGAACTAACATCCCGTGAACCTCGAACACTGTTGGACTATTTACAGAAATTCTGCTGTTCCAGGCTGTGAAGGGATGTTGGCACTTTTCATACCTTTCCCAAATAACCAAATTGTCAATGGGCATAAAGTCCATCTTTAAATGAAGCTGAAGTTGGCTTCCTATTCGCCAGCGTTTTAATCGACTGTTTTGTTCCACCTTAAATGCTACAGCTTGTACAAGTGCCAGAATGTAACTGAGGCATCATTTAAGGTGACATTGCGTAATTGTCGTACCACCTTTTTTCTTTTCAAGCCCACTGAAAATGGGTCCCACAGACCTGAACACCACACAAGGGTTAAAAAGTTAATGCTTAACTTTTGTCCAGATTTGCATTGTCACATGTTTCAGCAAACAAACTGTAGTGGCCTCTGATGATATGTATAGCAATTCGCAATCACTGAGTACAAACAGTGTGCAGCACTCCACATTTGCAAGGGCATTATCCTGGTATTATACTACTTGCAGTATAGTTCATACTACCAGCACATGCATGAGTACTCTACCTCTGTTGGAGGCCTAGTTATGTTCTTGAGTGTCTTCTGTTTATTTAGTCCTGCCAGTTTATCTACACACTTAAAAAAGATGGCTCTATATAGAACCATTAACACGCAAATAACCCTTTGCATGATTAAAGGGTTCTTTGCAATCATAAAATAGTTCTTCAGATTGATGGAGAATGTGCTGCAGATGGTTCTACATAGCATCTTTTTTGAAAAGTGCTGTATATAGCACCAAAAATGTTTTTTTATTGTTACAAACCTGACCTCATAACCATAGTAGAACCCTTTTTGGTGCTATATAGAACCCTTTTCAAAAAAGGTGCTAAATAAAACCATCCACAGCACATTCTCTATCAATCTGAAGAAACCTTTCTTGATGCAAAGAGTTTTTAAGGTATTTAAGGTACTATATAGAACCATTTTCTTTGCTAAAGAACCCTTGAAGAACCATCTTTTTTAAGAGTGTAGAGTATTTTTTTCCATAAATAAATGAACAAAACAGCTAAGAATTAGGGCACACAAAGACAAACAGTGAACCTTATGACAAAAATGCAGGCATATTTAAAAATATAGTGATATTTGGTCAAGAAACTTATGATGTGTCATATCTGATGCAGTACTTTTATAAGCTGTCATGTGATATAAAGTAAGTTTTTTTGTCAATCACACTTGTTTTTCAAGTCCTAGAGCTAGTGTTCAGATCAGTCTCACAAAGTAAAGCTTGGATAGGGTGTGCTCATGTCACCTCTGCCTGGTTTATACCTGTGTCCTTCACCTGTGACCCCATGACACAACTTGACATAGGTGGAGTTTATTTGCTAAGAGAGTTGTGCAGGAAAAGAAGAGACAAAACAAAGCATGACAGTTTTCATGCGTGTGACCAAACCAAGAGAAATAGGAGTGGGGAATTGGAAAAAGGAGAGCACTGAGTAAAAGGCAGGTTTCAGTCTGACTGAATTTGCACAGAGTTCCAAATTCATTCCAGCAATGACATTGAAATTCTCTTCCTTGTATACAGTTTATATACATACAGTTGTACGCAAAAGTTTGAACAGCTCTGGTCAAATGGTGTGTTGTGTTGATGGTGTGTTAATGCCTCCTCTACAGGGATCAGATTTAAATATGTCATTTGTCTGTACATGTTGGTGCGCAAGTTCTATTTATTTACTGAGTTTATCATGAACATAAAATATAAAATGTGCTGTTTCATTAAAATAAACAGTAATTCTGTATTAATATGTGCAAAAGTTCTCTGTAGACAATGTGTTATTTTCACTTCAACAAAGCACGTCATTTGATCAGCGGTGCCCAACGTTTTCTATATGACTACATATATATATATATATATATATATATATATACAGTGTTGTGCAAAAGTATTTGCTCCTCTCTGATTTTCTCATATTCTTTACATTAAGCATCTGGTTATATTCAGTACCTACAGTCAGATTATAGTTTTTCCCTCTTAAATCCAAATTGATTGTTATTGTTCAATAATATAATGTATTAGACTGCAGTAACAATAAGAAACTTCTTGTTTTTTACCACTGTCTGCTTTCCACGTATTTGGCACGAAACATTTGGTTTCTGGCTTGTTGACTGTCACTAAGATTCTAAACCAGCAGATTTCAGTTTATATATATTCAGCTATAATCTAACAAAACATCTCCACAGCCATTGTTTATTAGTTTGAAAGAAGGAAACGTAACAGAACACTGTTGGAATGTGGACAATCCTCCTGACACGCTCTTACCCAGAGCTAACATAAATAATAGTACCGCAGAGGGAGGTGCCGAGGGGACCAAGCAAACATACGGGAAGTCAGAGAAAGATCTGTGACAAGCAGGAGCACTGATAGAAGAGACCGCCAGACACTTTTCAAGAGTGAGTCACATGGTTTAAATACTTTTTGAGCAATAATAAAATATATACGTATAGATTCAATGTGCATTAGGCTCATGCATGTATTTTTAATGATTAAGAATTAGATTTACTGTTGAATATCCAATGTTCATTCAACATGCCTCTGGAAACTAGACCTTTGGAACTTATTCCTCAACCTTGGAGAGTTAGCGACTATGCAATGTACACAGGATATTTAAAGGTTGCTTTGTTAAGGACTGCACTGTAGCAGGGGAATGTGAAACATACCCTCAGTATCTAAGGGCTTGGTCCTACTTTAAATAAATAGCCTTGTTCCAGCAATTTCTCTGTGCACCAGATGGATCCGCCTCGTCCAGAGCTCTTTGACTTCCATGGTGTCTCTATGACACATTACTTCACGGACAACTGGGAAAATGTCCAGAACTTCAAAGCCAGACCAGACGATATCGTCATTGCCACTTACCCTAAAGCAGGTACCTGAATATGTATCTTTAATTCTCTTCAAAGCCAAAGAAAAGGAACTGAACAGAGGAGACCGCTTGCTCATAAATGTAACTCTAAAACGGTCATTTGGCCTAAGCTGAAACTGTACAATTACAGTATAATGATGACATGCCCCAGGCTGTATTACTTACCCAATGGGCTTTAAGGGGTGCAGCCACCAGGAGGCCCAGTAAGCATGAATTAAATAATGCATAGTAACTGGATTATTCCATGCTAATTCACCAATGGCCTGGCAGGTCACATCATGAACAAAATCAGGTAAGACCTCTATTTAAGTCATGCAATCATGCAAGTTCACAAACTCATCCTAGTAAGTTTTAAATTACAGTGGCTAAACTAAGGTGAAATATTTATCGGGTATATATACATTAAGAATATAATACTGTTTTAAATCAGCTGGTTTCATGTTAAGTTCTCATAGCAGGTTTATTTGTGTGTCTGTTTTAATGTCAGAGCATGAAATCTGTTATATTTTCATTAAATATTATTCAGTCATTTTTTTGTTTAAGTTTTACATCAAATCCAACTGAATGAATTATTAACCTCTGCACACAATATTTGAAGCCACTCCATGGGTTGAACGTGGTTTCACAACTTTAAATTCACTACATAGACTTTTTGACTCAATTTCTATTTGCAGCAGTTTACATGTATTAAATTCAAGGGCTGTCTTGTTCTACATTGTGTGTAACATCACCTTTTGGACTTGCATATGTTCATAGACATGTTGCTACTGTTAGTCCACTTTAACCTAGGATAAAATTAGCCTAAGATCAGATTCATGTTGTGCATACTTGTCCTAGATGCTGCTAATTGATCCTAAATACACAACAGTAAAAAAAAGCTTGTTAAGATTGGCCAATCCAGGGCTGGATTTGTGTTTGTGGGGCTCTAGGCAAAAGACAGGAACGGAGTCCCCTGCATGCACGTTTTTAAATTAGTTGAGGCTCTGGATTCCTGAGTGGCACCTTCTGCACTGCAATAAATGATATTTTGCAAGTGAAGTCATCTTAAATCTAGTCTAAATATCAAATATATCGCTGTTGTCGGAACAAAACCTCGTATCTCCATTTTTGGCAATTTTCAGTTTATGACATAATTTGAAAATGCCTGTTGGCCTTTATATTGTATGTAAATTTCGTGAAGCATGGACCAAAAGTGATGGCTCAAAATGACTTGTGAAAAAGTCTGGTTTCACTGACTTACATTAAAAGAAAGTTATGTTTTTTTCCTGTAAAGTTACCATTTTGGAGATACAAGGTTTTGTTTCCGACAGCAGCGATATAAATAAATATGTATATATATACACACACAGACATTCAGTGAGCACTTTATTAGGCACACCGACCTTGTATCTACACTCACTGTCCATTTTATCAGCTCCACTCATCATACAGGTGCACTTTGTAGTTCTACAGTTACAGACTGTAGTCCATCTGTTTCTCTGCATACTTCGTTATCCCCTTTTCATCCTGTTATTCAATGGTTAGGACCCCCACAGTGAGTGGACACAGCAGCACACTAACTACCACCACTTCAGTGTCACTGCAGTGCTGAGAATGGCCCACCACCTAAACAATACCTGCTCTGTTTTGGTCCTGACCATTGAATAACAGGGTGAAAGGGGGCTAACAAAGTATGCAGACAAACAGACAGTCTACAGTCTGTAATTGTAGAACCACAAAGTGCACCTTTATGGTAAGTGGAGCTGATAAAATGGACAGCGAGTGTACATACAAGTTAAGTGTACCTAATAAAGTGCTCAGTGAATGTATATCTCAGAAAAGGTTATTTAATCTCTACACACAGTTTACCTAATTAATATTTTCATGGGGCCTTTGGCTCATGAGGGCCCTAAACAGTTGCTTACCTTTGCCCAAAGTCCACCTCTGGCAGTATCAAATCAGTTTTAATATGCCACTCTCTCTCACTCTCTCTCTCTCTCTCTCTCTCTCTCTCTCTCTCTCTCTCTCTCTCAGGTACCACTTGGGTTGCCTACATTCTCGACCTACTGTATTTTCGTCAGACGATGCCTGAGCGCGAGTCCACCGTCCCAATTTATGACAGAATCCCATTTTTGGAGATGATTATGCCCTCCTATCCTTTAGGTCTGAAACTTGCTTACTTGCAGAAACTTAGTGTCACAGATTGATATTTATCACCGTGCGTCTTCTTTTTATATCTAGAGCATTTTTCTCTTGCCATATCCATAATACTGCATATTATATAATCATTTTTATAGATATTTTATTATATTAACAGGCAAAGCTTTAGTGACAGCAAATTTGCAAAAGCCAAATGTAAAAAAGGCAAATGAGAACACATATTTCATTAAGATTTTCTGTCATGGCATTTGTTTTGCCTCATACAGGGACAGAGATGGCTGATACATTGTCCACGTCTCCTCGCATCATCAAAACTCATTTGCCTGTTCAGTTCATTCCCAAATCCTTCTGGGAGCAGAACTGCAAGGTACAGTATGACACACTGAACAGGTTTGATGTAGATTAAATTTACTTTGAGACTTTGATAGAAGCACATTTATTAGAACTTAATAATCTTATACTGTGTCTAACATGTGCCTGAAAATACACTCACCATCCACTTTATTAGAAACACCTACCTTGTACTTCACTCAGCACTTCATTAAAAACAGTGCCCTTACAGGTCCACTATATAGGAGTACTATTACAGACTGTAGCTCATTTGTTGTCAGTCACCCTCGACCCCATTCATCATTGATCAGTTTCTGTCCACAGGACCACTGTTGACCAGGCATTATTTTGGTGGTGGATTGTTGTCAGTACAGCAGTGACACTAGTACAAGTGGAACTGCCGGGGTATTTACGCACCTCCATGTCACTGCTAGGCTGAGAGTGGACAAGTCCAAAAAATAGTCAGCCAGGAGTGGCTCTGTGGTCAGAAACTGACTACTGATGAAGGGCTAGATGGGTGGCTAACACAAATTGTGAAAGGCAGCATATGGGCTACCGTCTCTAACTGTACACCATCAACGTTCAGCTACAAGGTACGTTTCTAATAAAGTGGCCACTCATAGCGTAATCACAAGAACATAATCATTTCAAGTGAATTCTTTAATGCATTTGAGTTAATAAAAGTCTTTACCAGATTTTGACCAGTATGTCTGGATCTACAGGGCACTGCATTAGGGACATCATCTCTCTCTCTTTTATCTTCAGATTGTCTATTGTGCTCGCAACGCCAAAGACAATGCTGTGTCCTATTTCCACTTTGACCGCATGGAAAAGTTACAACCTGAGCCAGGAGACTGGAGCACTTTTCTACAGAGATTCAAAGAAGGAAAGAGTGAGTGAATGAGTGAACTCCATGTGAGTGAGTGTGACTGTGTCCACTAATTAGTATAGTAACCTCCTAAATTTTATGCTAAATACATTCAAATTCAAATGTAACCTTTTCAAATATTGATAAAATGAGAGACGTTTTATAATTGCCATATGTTAATTACTGTTTTCAAAATGTCCTCATCAATTTCCTCTCACAACTGGTATGATATGCTGAAGGTATCACCTTCGTCACTAGTGGCCACTTGTAGGAAAGGGGAAGAGAGGATAGCAAGGGATGGATTTTTTGAATAGGAATTGTCTTTTTTTTTACTTTTTTAAGCAAAAAATTGCATCAAATCACAATGCTGTCATTGTCATGATGAGCTGATAAAGTAATGAAGATGTCGGTGAGGATTCTCCAAAGAGGAAATGGTGAGAGCAAGAGGGCCACTGATTTTTGTCCATCTTGTCCCCTAATCTTCACTTTCTTGTATGGACAGTGGTGTTTGGCTCCTGGTATGACCATGTGTGTGGGTGGTGGGAGAAGAAACAGACATACTCCAAAATACACTACATGTTCTTCGAGGATCTGGTGGAGGTGAGCCCCCCAACTGATTATTTATTCAGTGTTACTGAATGTAAGAAAACAAATTAGCATTCATTTAGAAATAATGTGAGCTAGTAATCACTGCAACCATTGCTAACAGAGGCATTTTGATTGGTCTATCAATCAGTCAATCAAATGCTTAAAATTAGTCTGTTCAATGTGGAAAATATAGTTGGATATGAGAAATATAGTTGTCATACACCGATCAGGCATAACATGACCACCTCCTTGCTTCTACGCTCATTGTCCATTTTATCAGCTCCACTTACTATACAGGTGCACTTTGTAGTTCTACAATTACAGACTGTAGTCCATCTGTTTCTCTGCATACTTTGTTAGCCCCCTTTTGCTCTGTTCTTCAGTGGTCAGGACCAGCACAACACTCACTAACACACCACCACCACGTCAGTGTTACTGCAGTGCTGAGAATGATCCACCACCCAAATAGTATATGCTCTGTGAGGGTCACACCGACCTTGTTGTAGATGATATATGAGATTATATATGAAAAATATAGTCAACATTCATTAGCAGCATTACTGTGGTCTCTCAGGACACTGGACGTGAGATAAAGCGCCTTTGCTCCTTCCTCGGTTTGTCCACGTCAGAAGAAGAAAAGGAGAAAATCAGAGGAGATGTTCAGTTTGATGTCATGAAGGCGAATCCTATGACTAACCTCACTGATGACGGAAGTCTAGACTTCAGTGTCTCTCAATTCCTGCGGAAAGGTAAGTTAAAGAAATCCTAGGTTTTTCATCCTAATCTCCATCTATAGGACAAGAGTTTTCCCTGTAATTAAAAAAGAGCAGAAAACCTCTTAACTCTGGTGACTTTATGCTGGTAACGCATTACCACAAATTCTTCCCTCGGGAACTAGTCCCATCTCTGATAGAACAAATTATATAGATTTAGTTCCTAATTTACTAAATACAAGTGTTCTGCAAAAACATATTTCACATAAACATACACCCATCAGGCATAACATTATGACCACCTCCTTGTTTCTACGCTCATTGTCCATTTTATCAGCTCCGCTTGCTATATAGGTGCACTTTGTAGTTCTACAATTACAGACTGTAGTCCATCTGTTTCTCTGCATACTTTGTTAGCTCCCTTTTACCCTGTTCTTCAGTGGTCAGGACCCCCATGGACCCTCACAGAGCAGGTACTATTTGGGTGGTGGATCACTCTCAGCACTGCAGTAACACTGTGTTAGTGCTGTGCTGATCTGAGTGGATCAGACACAGCAGTGCTGCTGGAGTTTTTAAACACTGTGTCCACTCACTGTCCACTCTATTAGACACTCTTACCTTGTCAGTCCACATTGTAGATGTAAAGTCAGAGACGATAGCTCATCTGCTGCTGCACAGTTTGTGTTGGTCATCCTCTAGTCCTTCATCAGTGGTCACAGGACACTGTTGGCTGGGTATTTTTGGTTGGTGGACTATTCTTAGTCCAGCAGTGACACTGAGGTGTTTATAGTAAGTGGAGCTGATAAAATGGACAGTGAGCATAGAAACAAGGTGGTCATAATGTTATGCCTGATCGGTGTATACTAACAGAATGCAGCCATTGCTTAATAGTTTTTAACAGGTTAGCATCAAAATGAATGCATATTGCTACAGACGCAGCAGTTAGATTATGCTGAAAAAGCTTTAGTATTCTCTTAAAACACCTAGCAAAGCAGACTGGGAAGGAAGATGTATAAATAATTGGTGTATCTGACCTTTTTTCTCTCTCTATCCAATACATATTGACGGTTTTCAGGTAAAGTTGGTGACTGGAAGAACCACTTCACTGTGGCTCAGAATGAGCAGTTTGACGAACACTACAAACAGAAGATGAAAAACACCGCCCTCCGATTCCGAACAGTGCTATAGAGAGCTTTTGTGGCAGGGTAAAGAGAGGGAAAGAAGACAAAAAGGGAAAACATCTGGCCAGCAATGCCTTGAACTTGAAACAATTCAGGAAAGTGAAAGAAAATCAAGAAGTGTTTCAATCATATTAATATAATGGTAGCAACTGTTTTTCTTATGTTTAAATAAAAGAGCAAACACAAAATATTCTTGTACATCAGGTTTAATCAAACCAAAATGAGGCTTCAGCACAAAAATACATCAGCATTGAGAGAAAGAGGGAACACGTTTCAGTCTTCAAAGAACACGATGGACTCAAAAATGCTTCGCAATCATGTACTGAATACATCTGCACTATGGCACTGAATCATTATGATAACAACTACAAGGATACTGTCAATAAGTGACAAGAAACCAACCCAGCAAAAGGGTGGGATGGGCAGAGTCAAGACACCATCATTACACCTGATTGGATCATGGGACAGCACAAAGAAGATGTTTAAATTAGCAGATATACTCAGTTCTGTAATCACAGGTAAGCATGGAACAGAGTGCACAAACTTTAAACCAGTCGTAGTATTTTCACAGTCAGATTTTGTCAGGTTTCTAAGCCAGCTAACGTATCTTCAGGCATTAACCAAGAAACAGATAACACAGAGTATAAGATCAAGACAGGATCACATTTTCTTAAATTCCCTCTTTGATTATGCTTAAAGTATTGTACTACATAGTGCTAGTGTCATTTGGGATGTGCCCCAATGTTAAAAACGCTTCAGTCCGATATTACTAGAATACTTAGTTTTATTATCTAAAAAAATAGCTGAGTTCCTTTAATGCCAGTCCTCGTATTTTGCTTGGAAATGCACGATTCAAGATTGTCATTCACAGTAAATAAATTCCATGTTACTCCAAACACAGCATATTCTTATTTACAATCAACAAAAATAGCATATTTACATTTTCTTTTATGTTACACATATACTCGTGTTGGCTTTTCTCATGTATTGCTCAAGCATACATAATGTTGTTGTAGTGGACAGCAAATGCAGCCTTCTTGTGAGATATATGTACTCCTGTCTTCCATATAAAATACTATGCAAAGTAACACAACAAACATTCTTAAATTCTGTTGGATTTCAGCCTAAACTTTAACCTATGCTGTCAGCAGATGGTGCAGCCCAAGTAATTTAAGACTAATTCACATCATAATGAAAATGATTTCTTTGTTTGAAATGATCTCTGGTCCCTTGATACCTTGATACAGTCTAAGACAATCCAGGGTTGAATAGTAATAGCTTCTGTTTGACTGTTCAGGCAGGAGCAATGTGAACCGAACAGGCTAATACACAACGCATTCCCCTTGTACTGTTCCTCACTAATTAATGCATTTATTACACTTACTGCAATAGTTCCAAAAAATATAACCGAAACATCCTTAATAAAAGTTCTTCAGAGCTACATTCTCTGTTCAAAACAAATCAACACCGTGACACAGGGTTGGGAAGGTTAATTAAAGTCTGAACACTTTCCGTTACTTTGGGATTTCTTGTCTTTCTAAAGTCATATAATTAAATAAAGACAACAGAGAAAAATGATTTCAACAAGATTTTTAACAAGAATTTGACAGGAGAACTGCACTGTTTAATGAAACAGAAGCAGCCAAATCTAAGTGGAGCAATATATGAAAATATTTTAGACATAAAGATGTCATATTTGTATAGTATAATTAAGGGAGAGCTCCCTAGAAAAAAGGCTGAGTGATTTTAGCAGGGGATTGATAAAGCTCTGTGACTAAAATACAAATAAGTAATCACTGTAGAATGATCCAGTTTAGAGTCCAACATGCAGTTGTTAAAAACCTGTTGCGTACCATATCAAGTCAAAAGATCTGGTATAAATCATCTCAAGACCCTTCATCAACAATAATCATAAATAGAAGCCATTCTAATAACCCTGACTGGCCGCTATTTGTGTTCTATCTGCTTAAAGCTCTGTACTGGTTCATAAGGTTTCATACTGGTGTCTATTTACTGTAACCGTAATGGAATACAGTTACTTTTGTTTTTGTATCTTGATAATGAAATACATTGTTGTATTCCATCACTACCCAACCCTGCCTCGAAGACATCCATCATCACCTTTTGCCTATTTTCTACATCCCTACAATCTTTTATTTGACTTTTTTGACCGTGTCACAATTTTCCTGTTCGTGTCATGTTATGTCATGTAAGACTGAAACTAAAAAATAAGAGGTTGTGCTTGCTTATGTACTATAAAAGCACCATAACCTCTGTAAATATATGCTTTGGGCATGAAACCAATCATCTTTTTGTTCAATGTAGGCACCACTTATGGTGGTATAACCTTGCAAAGATTTCTCACCCTCTCATGTGTAGAAATATGTAAACATCCCTGTCTAAAGTTTCAGTTCTTTTCAAAAAAGACTTTCCAAAACAGTCTTTATAAAACAGCAACATTTCCAAAAAACATGTGCTACCATTTGCAAATAAGCATTTGATTAGATTGTGCAAACACTTCCTGCTTGTTCAGACATTCCGAATCTCTTCTTTGTTAGATCTTTTCCAAAAATCTCTCCAACGTCCAATATCTCTTCTCTAATCCAACATTTTCTCATATTTTTTTCTTTCACATTGCTCTGAAACCTTCACCTCATGGGGGGATGAATATATGCAAGATGGAACAGGGCATCCTATGTGAACAAACCTTCGAAATGAGCCAACTAACCCATACAGAGTAATTCAGAGTAACTTATTGTGTAAATCTGATCTTAGTGTCCTATCTGACTTTCACTTTAGGTCTCTCTGGCTCATGGTTCTGGTTATCTGGTAAATGACTTTAATCTCAGCCTTATCTTTTAGGTTATGTGAGGTGGTAGTTACTAGGGTCACTGATGTTTGACCAGTTCAAACCAGTTCAAAGGTCAATTATGTCACTACTGACACTGGCTGAGTCATCCTGGCGACTGACTTTCAGGTAGTTCCTTCCCCCTCTGCTGTCAGGCTGTGACCCTCTTTCCAGTTCAGGGGTGAGGAACGGTCTGGTGTCATCTGTGCTGGGGGTTGTGGCTCGGCCTGCACTAGGGGAGGGGTGCAGAGAGACGGGGCAGGACATGGAAGAAGGCACGGGAACTTCAGATGGCCAGCGTGGGCCCTGATGGGTGGGCGTAGGAGGAGCCGTGACCTGCCGACTGGGCACGGCACTAGGGATGGACCGGTCCAGGGCTGCAGAGGACTCAGTCAGCAGGGTGTGCTCGTCACTGCTTTCTGAGAGTGTGATTTGAGGGTCGCTGTTCCTACGCATCCAAGGCATGGGAGATGGAGGTGGTGATGGCTGTCCCAGTGGGCGGAACAGACTGCCACCCCTCAGCAGATGCTCCCGGTGCAATGCTTCATCGATGCTGCGGCTCAGGTCAATTGGGGACGGAGGACGCAGATCGAAGTCGTAAAGTGAGATGGCCGACTCTTTGTCCTGGTCCAGGCTGCCACTCAACGAGCACTGCCGTGGCTGACCAAGTGCCTGCAACCTCAGCAACGACCCAGCTGAGCTCTCAGCAACACTTCTCTGGTTGCGTCCGCGGTTGCTTTCTTTGGGCGGGTCTCGGTTTCTTATGAGGCTCTTGCTGATATCTGCTCCTGAACGTTCCTGCCCAGCCCAATTGTTTGGCAGCTCTCCTGACACTCCTCCGCCATTTGCTCCTCCCACTCCATTGCTGTCTGATTTTCTATGCGGCCGGCCCTTCAAGCTCTGCACAATCTTTGCCCAGCAAGTGTGTGTGTGGGAAGAACTGGAGGATTGGCCGGGAGAAGGGAGGTCCCCTGCAGCAGTCCCTCACCTGCCCTGAAGCTCTCCGAGTCTGTACCCTTCGAGGTCTCCAGAAGACCCAGGAGGCCAGTAGCAGCAGACAGAACGCCCATCCAAGTTCCAGCAGCCGTGCCCAGAACTGGCACAGCCACCAGGTCCAGCGGAAGTGCCGCCAGTCCCCTAGTAGACCATATAGCCACAGGCAGGTGTAAGCATGCAACAAGCAGCATAATGCCCCGAGTAGAGCACAAACTGCCAACACACGTGCTAGTACCCTCAACTTCGGCCCACTCAGGCCTTTATCTCCAACTCGCCCTACCTGGGGGCCCGAGAGACGTGGCAGCACCAGGCAGAGGTACCCCAGGCATAACACCAACCCTGCAGTCAAGGTAAGGCTCTGTAGGACCACAGGTACAGCAGGTGATAGTGCAGGAGACAGCAGGTCAGCAGCCAGCAGTAGTGTACACTGTAGGACAGCTAGCACGCCCAGAAGAGGTGGACGCTGAACAGAGGGAGGCAGCAGCGCTACCTCAGCCCCTATAAGAACCAACATTACCATTGCAGCCTGCACCCATATTAAGAGAGGCAGAGGCAACGTGTACAGGGTAGTGACGACAGGCAATGGCAAAAGTAGACGGGAGCCATAGGGATCGAGCAGGAAGTAGACAGCTCGAATTGCACCTGCCAGAAGCAATAGTCCATTAGCCAGGGCTAGTGCCCCACGATGAGGGCAGTGCATGCTGGGAGCCAGGGCTAAACCCAAGGCAGAGCCAGCAGTGAGGAGCAGGAAGAGGGCAGCAGAGCCAAAAACATGGAGCTCCCAGGCAAAGGACAATGTGCGACTAAGATCTGCCCACACCAACAAACTCCCATTTGCGGTACCAAGTTCACTGTGCACATTTGGATCTTTAGGAGAGGAACCACAGGGGCCCAAAGCAGGGTCACAGCGGTCCTTAAAAATATAGGTGGTTGAAGGGATTGGACCTGGTTTAGCTGAAGGGACGCTGCCCAGGGAGATTGACAAGTCCTTTTCTACGTATCTTGCATCATTCTCAAATGGTACCAAACGTCCACGTCCCTTCGGGATGGGAAGAGATGTGCTCTGAGAATTGGTTGTATCTGTGGAAACAGAAGAAAAGATAACACAACGTCACAGCAGAGCAAAGCAGGTAGCATGTCCAGAATGACACAACATCTATCTACATAAACAGAGATCTTGGCCCAACATAAGTAATTCATTCTAATAGAGTTATATGTTGATATCATTTGGCTATGATGAACAATGTGTAACAATTTTATTTGTATTATTGCATTTAATGTTACTGATATTACCATAAATAATACTAATATTGTGACTGTGTGTTTTTTTCTGTGACTGGTGCACAAATACACTTGTGTTACTCCCAGTGCTAGTGTCTGCATTTCAGTGAAGAATAACTCTCTCCCATGTGCTACACAGACATACGTAATTAGAGGTTTCTACCAGCAGATGGAGATAGTTTATCAGCATACGAAACATCCAGCTGCTGACTAGCACATGGGAGAGAGCTATTCTGCACTGAAAAGCAGACACTAGCACTGCAGTACATGAAATTGCAAGTGTATTGCGTACCAGACATATAAAACTGCACAGTCACAGCGTTAGTATTATTTATGCTGATATCAGTAACATTAAATGCAATAACACATTTTTTCACCGCATCGAAGATCAAACACAGCAATGCAGTATCTACAGTTTTAATATTACATCACTTTTCTAACTGCATATGCCTTGTGTGCCAGGATAATAAATCAGCTCTGATGCCACATTCCAGAGACCATAGTTTACTCTTTGACACTGCATCACAATGATGTACGGCATAATGCATTAAGCACACATGAAAATTAGAGAAAACAGGAGGGATATATCTACATCAAAATATGGTCTCTGTACTAAATTAGCGAGCAATCTGGAGTACCCAAATGAATGTCTGTGTTGCTGCCCCTGTAGCTCTTTGCTAACTCCATTCATCACAGCTACCTCAAAGCACCTAATCCTCGCTCCGAGAAAGAAGCGTTGCAAATAGACAAAAATGATTTAATTATACTTGGCTGTGCAGCTTTCCAACTGCTTTTCCAAACTTGTCATTAAGGTTTGACAAACAGACAGAAGCTAACACAAAAACGCTAAAGAACAACAAAAGATTAAAATAATTACCTGGACTTCAAAGCAGAATCAAACAATGGCTAATCCTCTGGCTTTTAAAATGGCCAGTATAGACACAAAACTACTCTAGACAAACTCACTAGGCCAGCCCAGTAACAGGTCTCTCAAATGAACTTTGATGAGCTCATACAGTCTCCTCCCTTCAGCTTCCCAAAAGAAGCACACAAGCAAATACATTAAAAACCACAAGATCTCATTTTTCACACACATACACTGTGTTTGAAAAAACATAAGTTAAACAACAGTCAAAAATGCATAGGTTGCAAATCTACAGACAAGTCATGTAGACACTTCTATAGCACTTGCAGTATTTTAATAGAATGCTGTGGTGATTTTGGATTTTCAGAAAGTTAAACAATCATGTGAGGAAACAGAGAGAGTAAAGTTAATATGACGTTACTACAATCAGAGATGTACACTAGTAAATGGTGACAGGCTGCTTTGTATTTCATTATTACCTTCATTGTGAGGATATTCCAAGAACATACACTCACCATCTACTTTATTACAAACTACCCTGTGCTTAGAAACTATCTGTTGTGAAGCAATTTGACAGCCACCCTCTACTTGATTCATCTCTGGTCAGTTTCTGACCACAGAACCACTGTTGACCAGATATTACTTGGGTGGTTGATCATTATCAGACACAGCAGTGACACTGACATGGTAGTGTGGTGCTGGTACAAGAGTATCAGGCCCAGCAGCATCACTGCTAGGTTTACCTTCCCAAAATATCCAGCCAAAAGTGGTCCTGTGGTCAGAACACTTCCAACCCCAGACCATTAATGAAGGACTAGAGGATGGTCAACACAAATCATTAATGACAACAGATGCAAAGCCTCTAACTGCTCACCAGCAAGATTTCACAAGATGTGGAGGTTGGGGTATCTAATAAAGTGGTCACTTGTGTGGAGATTGTTAAACATTAAAGCAATACTCCAGCATTTTTCTGGAGTATTGCTTCAATATTCCTTCAAGGTGGCACAGCATCTGTAAAAATCATAATAAACTGGCAAAGGCGAACAAAGTTTCGTGGTTAAAATGCATATTCCTGTCAAACTCATTGCCACATTGTTTGTCATAACACAGCAGGAAGCCATTTCCAGGTGTTGACCTGATCACTCCCTCAGGTTTCATTGGAAAACTGTATTCAATGCAACTTTAATTGTCTTAACTGCATGTTTTCCCTTGTGACATTCCACACGAGCTATAAAATGTCAGCAGTAAGGTAACATGACAACTGACTTCACCTGCAGACCTGGGGTGTGTATGAAGGCCTGAGGGTTATATAGCGTACTCCCTTCCTCATACACATACATATACACCCTCACAACACACATGCACACACACACATATACACAACTGCAAGGTATCTATAAATAGTACCTATACTGTATATAGTACCTGTATATTGCTGCTGTCTCCATTTTTGTGTTTTTTTCAGTTTTTTTATATAATTTGAAGGCACCTGTTGTTCTTTACATGGTGTGTACATTTCATAAAGAATGGACCAACAGAAACGGACCAAAATTACTTGAAAAAAAAGTCCGCAATTTGGAGATACAAGGTTTTGTTCCGACAGCGATATAATAAGAATTTTCTAAGCTTAACCATAACCTAACCCTCATTAAGCTCAGTAACCAAAATGAAATTAAAAAAAGGTGCTTTTGTAAAGTAAAGTCATGACCTGACATTGTTAGGTTACACCTGTTTTCTCTGTTTTTCATTTCTGTCTTGGAAAGGCATTAAAACAAGCACCCATAAACACATCCATACACTGCTGTGCCCAAGTTACAAAGACATGTTTTCTCATGCCTCCTACGTACACAGTACAATCTAGAGTGTAAAACTGTGGGCAGACAGCTCAGACAAAGCCTATAGACGTTGAGTCAATGCTGTAGACTTTACCAAGAGGCCACATTCTGAACAGGAAGTTAAAGCACATGGGAGCAGCTGAATGGAAAAGTAGAGTGTGGAACTTTTCCTGTCATTTTTCATTGAAACCACCTTTTGCGTAACTCCCTGAACAGCCAGCAGACTCCAGGAATGACTAAACAAAGCAAAAAGGTGTCTCACGCAGACACATAAACCTGATCCCTGCTCACAAATACCATGTCTCTAATGCTCTTTTTGTGTAAGACTCTTTAAAACACATCATTCAAAGAATAAATGTAGTAGCTTTGGGGCTATGCAGGAATATGCATCAAACTGGAATTAAAATGGCTTTCCAGAACTTATCATGGAAACACTTGAGAACGTTCTCACATTGCCTACAGCATACACACCAGACATGTAGGAAGGAAAAGTAATAGATGATGGATGGCAGAGAAGCATTTTGGTGAAAGCGAACAGGAACAATCTATTCCCTTTGAAACTTCATGTGCTTTCAGTTAGAGCTAGTCATAAAACGCGCACACACACACACACACACACACAAGTGGCACGCTCACACTAACTCACTCACTCCCTCACTCACTCACTAATGCACTCATTCATATCTATAACTAATTCTCCCTCATGTGCAGATGCCAAAGCTTCATGTGAGTGAATGGAAAAGCAGACAAGAGCATAAACACATACACTTCTATTAACATGTGTTTAACTTCCTCTGACTGAGGTCTGCTCCTGAACAGCAGGATTCAGACACATCCCAGATGTGCCGATCACATTTCACAGCTGGAGGCATTTACACACACACACACACACACACACACACACACACACACACACACACACACACATACACACACTCTTTTTTACTTTCCACAAACACACACATGCACACTTTTTCTCTGTCCACACACACAGAGACCTGTTTTTATATAGTGTCAGGACAATAAGTACATATGTATAAGTCATACATATATGATATATGTATTACATATATAAAACTATTCATTGCTAATAATATATTCCATATATATGTAACTACCCACATGAAATATGTTTCACATGTATTATATATGTGGAACTACCCATATGTAATAATATGTAATAATAATATTATATACATGCAGCTACCCATAGGTATAATATTATACATAATAATTTCCCATTCCAGCAAACTTGAATCATGTATACTCTTCCTTTCATTATGAAACTTTCACACAAGTAAAAAGCTACAGGTATTTTAAATTTATGTCAAAAAATGAAAAACAACAAAAATAGAGCTACAAGGTTTTGTTCTGACAGCGATAATATGTAACAATCCACATGTAATAATGATGTCACACATATTTCATACATATGTAAGTACATGCGGTGATATGTCCCAGATTTATTATATATGTGTCTACCAATATATAATAATATTACATTCCATAAATATTACATATATCATCGCTGTTGGAACAAAACTCATTTAAAAATGTAATTACCCATATACAAGCAAACAGGACTATTGCACAGTACTGTATATGTAGCTCTCTGGTTTTCCTACAAAGTCAGGACAACTTTGTCTTGAAAATGTACAAAACACACACATCATCATCATCACTGGTTCCTGTTAGAATTGTTTTTGATAATGATCATTATAGTAGCTCGGTTATAATTGAGTGATGATAAACTCACAGTACCAGCAGCAGCTCAGAGAGACGGAACTAAACTATTGTACTGGCATCTGTAGCACTGCTGCAGCTTCTGCACCACTTTCTTCCAGCCGACTCCTCCCTTCCCTCCATCCTGCTCTGTATCCATCTGGTTCTCATCACTCTCTGAACTCCCTCTACTCACTCCCCTCTTCCCCTCTTTCCCTCCGTTTACAAAGACATCTCTTTTCTTTGTAATAGTATCTATCAGTAAACCTTGAGGAGCTTTGCTATTTTGGGCCTTTATTTTCTTTCATCCTTGCTCACTTCATCCTTCATTGCCCTTTTCTTTTCTGTCTGTCCTCGCCGCCCTCCCTCCATCTCTTCATCGCCTTCTGTGCATATTTTCCTCGGGGTCTGACCTGTCTCCTTCCCACACGCATGTATGTTTTCCGTCCCTCTCTTTTTCTGTCTCTTGCTTTCTTTCTTTCTCTGTTTCTTTCTTCACCCCTCCTCTCTCTCTCTCTCTTTCTTTCTGTCTCTCTCCGTCTGGGCCCTCATACCTTTGAGCTTTCTCCAAAGTCTTCCCGCAAGAAACCAGCTGCATAAATAATTCCACTTGGTGCCAAAGACTTGCACGTCATCAATGCAGCCATTGTTTCCATCACCACTAAAAACTACAAATCCCACAATGCACCCACTTCAAACGACTCCTACCTGTCAGGTTTTGTTGATTTGTTGTGCTTGCAGAGGGTAAGCTTTTGAAGATTTTGGTCTCTGATCCTTGTGGAGTGGTTGGGCTAGATTCTTCCTCTGTTGGCTGCTTACTGGATGCTGTTGCTGCTTTTGTTGGCTTTGTTGTGTTTCTTGGCTGCGGATTGGTGGAACTTGCTGGAGCGTCCTGTGGTGGCAGAGTCCTCAGCAGTAGGCTTTTGGTGCTTGTGTTGAAAGGGGGACTTTCACTGGGTGATGGTGAATGTGTTGGAGGGTGTGAAGCTCCTTTGGACTGGTGTCCTGTTGGAATTGTACTGCTTGTCTTAGCTGATAAAACAAGGGTGAATAAACAAAATTGTAAACAAACATTTTACACATTAACACACTGTTAAAACAAGATTTGTTCTTTTAACTAAAAAAGTACTTAACCTGGTTGCATTAAAATGTAATTACAACTGAAATATATTGGTTTGTAATAATAAATTATAATTCTATATAGATTTAAAATTGTAAAGCAGATAGGTAATTTTTTAGCTTAAAACAACAATTTCTTTACAGTGCAAGGTGTTAATGCCATTAAACCTATTCTAACCTAATTGTTAGATAATTTCTCACTCAAAGCTCACTAAAACAGTGGGGCAATCCTGTTAAAACTGCGGGTTCTAAACTTTTAGTCAATACCACATTTAAGTTCATAAGTACTAGAGGAGATATTACATTATGATTTGAATTTGATGCAAAAGTTACTTTTCTGCTCTGTGGAAAGAAAAACCATCATATTTTTGTCATTATTGTAGACTTAAGCCTGTTGTTACAGAATGTAAACCAAATGTAAATTAAATTAATTGAGAAACTGTGTAATTATGCACTTACGTAATTACATACATAATCAAATGTGACAAAACTACACTTCTAAGGGTAAACTCACCTCCTCTCTCTTCATCAGCTAGACTGACTGTCATGTTTCGGTTCACCATATTTGGAGCTGACGTTGTCGCAGGTCTCTCTTTGACCAGTGTAGTACTGGAGTGTTTGGGCTGGAGCTCTAAGCTGACACTAGGGTGTTTTGGAGCATTAGAAACAGTGGTCAGAATACTGTAGGCTGTTTGAGCTTGGGGCCTGTACTGGGCACGCTCAGCACTGTCTCTTTCCACAGTCTCAACTGACGACTCAGTTAAGCTAACCACAGTGGGGATTAATACATCTGAAGTTGACCAGTCCTCCTCACTCAATTCACTAATTAGTTCTTCGGTCACTGGCTCTGTCCCTGCTGTCTGGAGCAGGATGTGACCAGAGCCTTCATCAACGGAAGGGGTTTCAGCTGTGGTCTTTAAAGATCGGCCTTCTACATGTTGTGCGGATGCTGTAGTAATAAGCCTTACTGTGGGCTGAGTCTGAGTGAGCCCACTTTTGGCTCTGGTGTTGGGGGATATCAAATGGCTAGTGAGTTCAACCTTTATGTCCACATTTAAAGGGTGCGTTGATGTTTCCCCTATATGATTTCTAATGGTTTGTTCCTCTGGATGCCCATTTAACACACCATCTCCTTGCTTAGATACTTCAACAGAAACATTTTTGTCCATCAGTGATTCTCTCTCAGCTTCTCTACTCATTTCTTGACCATCATTTATGAAAGGCACATCAGTCCGGCCTGTGGGCTGAGAAGACCCCACGCTTGGCTGTGTCTGATCAGTCTGTTTTGAAGTGGAAGCTCTAGCATTGCCATCATATGATGAAGAGTTTACATAAACTTGGCTTGTAGTAGGCTGGACAAGAACAAGAAGCAGAGGGAGCATCAGCAGAAGCACCATGGTAGTGCTCTGCCTCCCCAGGGCGTGCCTGATCAACAACGAGCTGCTGTGTTTCATGTCTTCTCCTGCAGAAAAACACAGGTACAGATTAGATAAAAATTATGCAAAAAGCCAGAGACACTAACACTAAATTACACACCCACACAAATAACTAGTTCTCTAAGAGAGCGAGTTAGGTGGGCCTTAAAGCATTAGTTTGGCAAAAAACTAATTAGCACCTTTTCCCGTTCACCCACTTAATGTTGGTTTAGTGTCCAAAGTTGGCTTCTTTAGTTTTGCACTGGAGCTAATGTCGCTAACAAGTAATGGAAAATTAAGGCCAACGATTAGCAGAGTGCAAACTGCATGCCTAAATTATCATACACTTGCATTAAACTGCATCAAGTTGTTAAAATAGCACTAAAATCATAATTTAAACCATAAAAATGTATCTATGTTGAATAACATAGTTAAGGATTTTTATGTATTATTGTTTTGCCCAAGAAATTACTAAAAATGCCACAGGAGCATCCCTAAACTATTACACTCATTAAGACTGTGAAGATTTATGAATATGCATGATTATACGTATTGAAAATGCCCCTCCCAGTTTCCAACCCCTGCCCCTTCTCCCAACTTCCCTGCATGGCTAATACGGTTGCACGATATTGACATAAAATGCGATGTTCAATAAAGTTCTCAGACATCACAATGGAAATATCAGAAGTGATGAGTTATTATTAAAATAGTGAGCCAATGACAGGATGTGATGCATGTACATCCTTTTTTATGTGTAAACACCAGCAGGCCCAAAGCATTGCTACACACTTCTATAACCTAAGAATAGCTCAGCCAGTTTGCATTGAAGTCCCTGTAGTTACTGAATAATAAGCCTTAGTATGTAATAAGCCTGAGATTTTAAGCGGTTACGCAAATAGCAAAGTACAAAATGGGAGATCAGAATTCAAACCAACACACAGACGTGCTCATAGGTTTCTAACTGTTTGTGCCGGTAATGTGGTACTGCGTGTATGAGGTAATTTGATCTGTTCTGTCATTGCCGCTCTAATGATAAATGACTATAATGTTTATTGTGGAAACTCATATCACATTAACGATAAAAATACAATTTATCATACAGTCCTAATGGCTAGCTCTGCTTCTTCCTTTGGCAAATGTGCAAGAGGCAACACAGGAATATGTTTGAAAAGATTTAGCAGAAACAAAAATAAGTTCCCACTGTAACATTACTAAATGATGAACAGTGCTAAAAAGAGCACAGTGAAGCTGGTTATGTATATAATGCTAGACTCTGGTGCTAACAAGGACAGTACTTTGGAGCAAAAGTAGCTTAGCTGATAGATCCACACACGAAAACATACGTTTGCACATTCACTGTGTCAGTGAAGCTTTAGTGAGCTGGACTCAAACCTGTGCTGTGGTGTGTTAAGTTGTTCCGTTAAGCTACTGCTACCTGCTACTTGGACAGTAAATCACTAACAGTTCTTTGGCTCTACATATCACATTTGGCAGTTCGTTAGATAAATGTAGAACATACATGTGACATACCATTGCAACTCTAAACATCAGCATTATCTACTGTTAACTGCACAGTCAAAACATCTCAAGCATTAAGTAGTACAGGTATGTTTTGCAGCTATACGTTTTCTGTCACCACAATGTATGCCTTTTATTCAAATATTAATTAATTACACAAGCAGGTGATGATTTAGGCATGCAGTTTGCATGACGGTATTTGTGTATAAGCATCTATTACATCCATTATAACTACTTTCCTTCTTAGCTCCAGAACAAAGTAACCTTCGCACACCAAATATGTTTTGATGATAAAGGGAAAATTGTGTGAATTAAATGTCTAGGTTTAATACAGTTAGGAAAGCAATGAAATGAACATAGCAGGAAACATCACAGCTGCAACATCTGACCAGAAGTCACAAATAGTGTGACACTCCCAGAACATGTGTGGAGCCATGCCAGCCATTCCAGTATGGCATATTTGGCAGTGCTATTCACATTATATATGTGTTATTTACTACATGTCTACACCACCTCTTGCTGACCTCTATGTGGCACAGTTTGGATCTCTGAGATCATTAAAAGACCTGCCCTCTGAGTCAACAAAGTTGATAGCCATTAGCGCAGGCGCACACTTAGGCCTGACCGATGTAGTATGTAAACAGACTCATGAACACAGCTTGCAGTGAGCCACACATTTGATGTTTCCATATAAAGCATAAACAGAACACATGTGATTCTACTGTAGGCTTGAGTATTAACAGGTATTTTAATACAATCTAGCACGTCATCACTAAATTTCATTAAGGAGTTCCAGATTTCATTAACTTTTTCTCACTGCTCTCATACTCATAGCTTAATGGGAAAAAAATCTGTTGAATTACATTTTATTATGACTTGAATTTGATAAAAATGTTGTATGGTAAAAATGTATGAGAGAAACATGTTGACACAAGTTAACAACATGAACCCAACATGCCTTTTACCAGGCCCCCAAAAAAGAAAGCTGACTGTTTAAAGCTGCTGGCAGAGGAGTTACACTGCTTACATGTCACCAAAAAAAAATCTTTTCATCAATTTCAGAATGTATTTTCATCTTTGTTATAGCCCATTCCTTATATATCAAACAGACAAAACAAAAGCACTCAGAAAACATGTTATTAATAAAAAAGAGTGGATAAAATGTCAAAAATAGCCACTTTTTTGCATCAGCCTTAAAGGGATATAATATAAATATATGCAAATAATATGCTGACACAAGTTTATATACGTCCCAAGCTATTGCACTAACTATATGTTAACATGCTAGCCATAATACAATGATACAATACGATACAATAAAATGCAGTATGATTATACAAATAATTCAGTATGGTTTACTACATTTTTACACCTCTAGTAATTACATACTGACATCTACACATCAATATGGCAGAAACAATTACAGATTTCTAAGGGAACAAAAGTCTTATTAGATTAGGAGACGCATGACTAATACAGACACAGCTATCCTCGTCAGACGAAGAGTACACACGCAGCACATTCAGAATACATATAGCACCGTTATCCATCCCCCTAACATTCACTGCAGCTATATTTGGACATCTTATATATGCAATGTTTACACAAAGCACACAACATGGTAAGACTGCATATGTCCATGTTATTACCATAAAATAAGAAGGACAGAACCATGCTTTCAGTGGCATGACTCATTATAACATATTAGCCTCTGGGCCCCTAATGATGACATCATAACAGCTGTTTGTTTTTTTTTGTTTTTTTTTGAGAGCAGATTTAACTTAGGTCAACCATTTGAGGCCTGAGCTAGAAATGCCCCCAATAACATAAAACACCTGTTACCCGCCACATCCAACATCTTACTCATAATGTATCATTCTGAATCACGGAAAATACCCCACCAACCCACACCCAACCCGCCCCTCCACCCCCACACACACCCCCACACCACACACCACTTGAGAGCCCATAATGAATTGCTGAATCACTGAGAAGAAATCTGGCGAACCATTTGGACACAGTACTGGGGGATTAGCATTATATGAGGGCTACAGTCATAACATAGGAGAGGAATGCAAGGCATAAATCAAATTAAGCACTTAATGTAAAGCAAACATTCAATAATATTAGTGTGTGGAAAGAGGTAGCAAGGAGGAGTGAGGGTGAGAGGTAGCGAGAGGAACTCAATCAATCAGTATGAATCCAACCTGTGTAAACACAACACTGTGCAATATGTCAGAAGGTCTAAAGCTTGGATTGGGGAGAGAGGAAAGTTTTCTTGGAAAACTGTCATTCAGAGTGGTTTAAGGTGAAACAAAATTTCTTTACAGTGGTAGTGATAGGAACCAGGAGGCCTGATGTCTACAACACAAATATAGCTTTTTTATTTACTGTCAAAACCACCAGTGAACCTACACATCTTCTTTTATGTAATGTTGGTAATGGCAGTGGTAAACCCCGCCCAAAAAAGCTTACTTTAGGTACTACTTTGCCTTACAAAATACTGCATGTACCTCTCCACCATGAATTCATTACAAAAATACATCTCAGGCATCATGTAGTGTATTAGTCACTATTGTGTGCAGTAACTTTATGTGAGGGAGCTGTTAGAGCCATTGTACACTTCTGATGCCTGTGCCTGTCACCACCTCTGTGAACAGTTAAGTCAGTTCTCCAAGTTTCTCTAGAACAGAGCATTTCACATTCTGAATGACTTTGTTTGCATGTTAAACCTTTTGTTAGTTATGTCATTTTAAATCGTTGGAATTGCCCTTTAATGCTGACGCGAACAAGCAGCTATTTCTGTCTTTAATTTACTGTTCACCTTTGATTTTGTCACACATCCCGTCGGTTCAGACTCTCTGGTGGACTACAATTCCCAGAACCCTCTCGGAGAACACATGACTGTGATGTCACATCAATCCATTTATCAACGTTCACCTGTTCTCTGTATCATACGATATAGTTAGTTTAGATTATATAGCCATAGTTATTTGCAATGTATTGCTTCTTTCTAGAGCTACTGAGCGTTATTTACTGTGTGTTTGTATTCCATTCCGTTCTGACCTGTATTCTCTGTTTTATGACTCTGTCTTCTTCTTCTGACTCTGGCTCCCTTTTGGATTTGGTTGCTTGAATTTGTTATGTTTGTCTATTTTTGTATTTTGTCTTTGCTGGATTTGACGGTTTTGGCGATGACATTGGGTGACAAATCGACTAGATCTTTATATGCATTTCATATAAATGCAGCAGCATTTTTTATTCATATTTTAGATGTAAAGAACTATCTATCAAAGATGAAAATTTGTAGAATTTTATTTTATTTGTGTCACAAACTACCATTTTGAGCAAGCTAACATAAACAGAAATATACTTCACACCTTTTATTGAGTGCGTTTACATGCAGATAACTGAAGAAAATCAGATTTTGTCAGAAATCTGATCAACACATTTACATGCGCTTGAGTAATCAGATAATGGGAAACTCTGGCTCTACATGAGTCAGGCAGTAATCGGATTTCTGCTTTGC